AATCCCAACTACTACAAGTCTGATAAAGTGATTGTAAATTTTATACAGTAACAGTTATGCAATTCAGAGGTTCATTAAATAAATTGTGGTAGCATAAATGATAGTTCATTTGGAAGCAATCAGGTAGTTTCCTACCTCATATCATAGATAAAAATATCTTCAATATATCTGAAATTCTAGTGTAAAAATTATACCCAGATTTTAAGTGCAAAAATATATATAAGAATATTTTATCATCTTCATATGGGGACACATTCGTAAACAAGGGAAAATATCCAGACACCATAAGTCAGACATATGACTACATAAGAGTTAACACTTTTAGTGGGAAAAAGACTGTAAGTCTCAAAAGACAAACAATAGATTATACAAAATGTTTCCAAAATAAAGAGCCAACATTTAAAATAACAAAAAACAAAAAAAGTGCAAACTTGTAAGAAAAAGATAACCTAAAAAAAACTACCAGACAACTGACATGGTAGACAAAGATAAGCTGATCAATTTCACTTGTAGTCTGGGGAATACAAATGACAGAAACAAATCAATTTTTTTCATTCTGATTAACAGAGAATGAAAGCAATGACACTTTATGGTGGTAGGGGCAGTGGGGAAGTGGTATTTTCAGACTTGTGGGAATACGAACTGCTCTAACAGTTTTTGAAGAGTTACTGGCAGCACTTAGTAAAATTAAACCTACTCCCTTTGATTACTCCAATGATCTCATTTTAGAAGCTCAACCTTTAAGAAGAAAAAGACTGAATATGTAGTAGGCTATATGAACAAGTATTAACATCAGTGTTGTTCATAGTAGAAAAAGGTGAATGGATATGGTGTTTATAAAAATGATATAGCTACAGTAGTGAATGGTATGTAACCTTTGAAAAAGAATGATTTACTGTGTAGCTATCTAAAATGTATATATACATGTAAATGTATAGATGGCTGTATTTCTGTAAAAACAAGTCCATGAAATCCTTCATGCATTCATATCTGAATGAGCATAAAGATAGAGAATAATATATAAGCTTTGATCTATCTATAATTGGGGAGAGGGAGAGAAAAAAATTATTTAGCAATATTGGGGTTAAAACTAGTACTTGCCAGGCAGGCACTCTAACACTTCAGCCATGTCCCATTCCCTTTCTTTAGTTATTTTTCAGATAGGGTCTTGTGTTTTTACCAGGGGAAACCTCGAACCATGGTCCTTCTACCTATGGGCTCCCACATAGCTGGGATTACAGTTGTGAACTATAATTGAGATGGTGGGGGTCTCACTTTTTGCCTGGGCTGGCCTCAAACCATCATCCTCCCAGTCACCACCCCTAGAATACCTGGGATTTACAGGCATGATCTGCTGCACTTAGCTATACATACATATCTAATTATATTTATGTATGTATGTATGCATGCATGTATTTATGTATATATTTATTTTTGTGATACTGGGGATTGAGCCTAGGGCCTCGCACTTCTTAATATGTCTAATATTTACATTTGAATCATTTCTAAGAGCTTTGTAACTTAAAAATACTGTAAAAGTAATAAGTGGATATCATAATGTATAAATGACTTGTAACATGATTTCCGAGCTTGCAAATTGGTTTTGACTGTGTATTTCTACATAATTATATACAAATTAATAAATTAACAACTCATATAGAGACAATATTTGTAACAAAAAATGTTAAGATCCAGAATATATAAAGAATGATAGAGAAACGGGAGCGGGGGGAGAGACAGTGGGGGTGATCTAACCAATGTACAATATAAGCCTATTTGAAATTGTCATAATGAATCCCCCTGTGCAATGAATATATATATCCTAATAAAAAATTAATGGAAAAAAGATAAAGAAACAAACAAAACAAAGAATTATAAATAAACAAGGATTTTCCTATACTAAAAGTCACTAAGTTGTACACTTTAAATAAGGGCAAGTTATCTATATACACACATACATATACATGCACACACACAAATATGTGTATATTAAAAAATATAGAGAAATCTATCTATCTATCTATCTATCTACCTATATATCTATCTCCAGGACTAGAGATGGAACCCAGGACCTTGTGCATGCTAGGCAAGTACTCTCTACCACTGAGCTACACCCCCAGTGTTAATAATTTTTACACATTACTGTTAAGGGAAAAAAGAAGAATGGGCCAAGGAAGTGAGAAAGTAACAAGAAGAGGATCATAATTCCTGTCATTTATCTTTTAGAACAAATACAGATCGTATTTGTATATCAGCAAAGGAAACCACAACGGCTACAGCAATGCCCTTGGGGAGGTGAGAAAGAACTCGCCTCCTGTGAGATTTGCCTCCTTAGCAACAGAAGGGAAAGCAGAACTTGGGAACAGTGATGTTCCTAGACTGATGCTAGAAACCTCCTGAAGGTCTCCTCAGTTGCTTTGGTCATCTCAGTGAAAAAGCAGCAAAAAGTAGGTCACATAAACTGCTGGTGGGTGGGGGTGTGTTGGAGATCTGAAATAACTGTCTGCCTAGGAAGAGGGAACCAACCATGGAAACTTACTAAGATTTCTGGCCAGCATCAAGGCTCACTTGAGTTTGTGCTCAGAAATTTAAAGTGAGAATGGTTATCATGGTTGCATATTTTTCTCTACCCACATTCAGTTTCGTGGGTACAGAGCAGGCAGTCAGTTTCCACAAGGATTTGAGTTTTGCCAACTGAATACAACAAAGAAAGGAGCAATGGAGTTGAGAGGGTATACGGGTATAATAATGTGCTACAAAGTTAGGATAAGCAGAGAAGCAAGGGCATGCAAGGGAGAAGTACCATGTTTTGTTCTTTTGGTGCTAGGAATTAAACCCAACATGTGCTTTATCACTGAGCTATAATGCCACCCTGAGAAGTACTGTGAAAAGGCAATGGATGTTAGGTTCTGAAGAGGTCTAAGAATTATTGGAGTCAAGGGCCTATACAGAGTAAGCTAGAAAAAATACGGGGAAGTAGTGAGAGAATATGTTTGAAATTGAGACTAAGGAAGGGCTTCAGTTACTAGTAATGGCAAAGAAGTGGGTAGCTGAGCCTGATCTTGCTAATCAAGATCATTAGCAGAGAAGTATCCATCCCAGAGAGACAATGAGAAAGAAACTAAGGTCTCTGGGAACAAAAAGGAGTGACCAGAAATGGCAAATAACTATGGGTGGTACAGTTGGATGAGATGAAAAATTTAAAGCTGGGTGTTTTAGAGAGGAGGGAAAGAGAAAACAGTTTCTAAGTAGCACTATAGGGGTAAGAAAAACCAGTAGAAAACATACACTAAATGAGAGGCTGCAGGGATGAGACATGGATTTGAAATGTTAGCTGTGGGTGAGAATCACCTGGCGGGCTTACTCAACTATATAGAGTTTCTAATTTAGTAAGTCTGATGTCTCCAAATCTGCATTACTAAACATTCCTGATGAAGCTGATGCATCTGGGCTAGGGACCAGATTTTCTGAACAACTCAGAACAAAAAAGGAAAAGAACAATCAAAAGGGTTTGCTATGTAGAGAATGTTGTTGGCTTTTCACAAAGCCCAGAAAACATAACGAAAAGGTTTTAGGAGTTGGAGAGTGGTGAGTGATGGGGCCAGAAAAGGGGCCCTCACAAAACCAGACTTTAGTTGAAGACAGTTGTATGTATGAATTTAAAAGAACCCAGACAATCTTTCACTGAAAAACAACATATAATATAGGAAGGATCAGTTTTTAACCAATATTTTTCTCTACTAAACTGACTACAACCAACCTACCAAAAGTCAAGTATCTACAATGTGCCAGCCCCTTACAGACGAAGTTAATTATAAAGTTGGTTAAACTAAACACAGAAAGCATAACATAGCCCTCTATAATTTTATATTATATATAATCTTTTGGGAAAATAACAATACATACTGTTGAGTATATACGTACTAAGTTCTTGGTTAAAAATAGACATTTGAGTAGAAATACTATCACTTTAATTCTGCTGTTCCATGGAAGTAGTATAACTATTTTAGGCAATAGTTAATCATGTTTTTAAATTGGCTGACAGTCTGAAGCATTTCAAAAAGCCATCATGCTAATTATAAAGACAAATGAGGTCAAGAAAATTTTCTTATTCTCTTTTCTCTCTAAAATACATACACGTTTTGAATTTTTACTTTAGGTAGAATAGAGCTTGAATCATGTTACACTTCAAGAGTTCAAAAATTTAAAATGGAAGTCAATATACATGATATATACGTAACTGCAACTTGAAAATGACAAAAGTATTTTACAGAACATTTAAATAAGACTATGGTTAAGTAAAAGTAAACATTACTACCACATACATATTAAAAATGGTAAGTTCCTATAGAAGCTTGCGTACATAATTAATATTTACTATTATTTTGTCAACATCTTTTAAACCATAGGTAATATATGTATGTGTGTGTATGTCTCAGGTTTATGCCCTGGCCGGTCTGAACCACTATTCTATTCACACTTCACACACAGCTGGTAGGACAGGTGCATGCCACCGTGGTCAGCTCTTTTATTAGTTGAGATGGGGTCTCATGAACTTTTTGCCTGGGCTGGCCTCGAATTTCAATCTTCCCAATATCTGCTTCCCAAGTAGCTAGGATTATAGGTCTGAGCCACTGAGCCAGGCTGGTAATATTTCTTTAAATAAAATGTCGATGTACTGGGCAGAACTAGCAGAGAATCTTTTATAATGTGACACACAAGGAAACCAAGTACTATTTGTTAGAAGCTCTAAATATTTCTAAAAGCAGATAGATATTTGTTTTAAGTTAAAAACTCAACAGGTGCTATGTTTTAATATACTTTTATATAGTCTTCATTTTAAAACCAGTCAGGGACCATCTCTTTTGGATTTGCTTAGATCAGGACCTACAATACATAGTTGACATTTGTGGAATGGATATCTATTCAATTTTTAAAGAACCAAATTATAAAATTTCCAACAAATTACATCATTAAAATGAACATATAGCTATTAAAAATGTAAGTGAAAACTGTTTAATCATTTTAGAGCAGTCAAAATACAATATAAGATTGATATACTTGGTGTCTGAAGGCAATTATTTTACCATATGCATTTTAATCTTACAACATTCATTTGAAGGTGATGGTTAATTTAAAAACTGAATTTTAATCAAAATTGTTTTCAAACATTGTCATAATGTCGCTTTGAAGAGTCATATCAATGGTACCCGCCATCTGTAGAAAAGAGAACATTTTAACTACTTTAAAAATGTATGCCTTTATTACAGCTATACAAAATGCAAACAGTTTTTAACATAATACATTTTTATTTCTGTTATTTTTATACCTGTTTCATAACATATTGCTTATGTGATAAATAAAAATGCCCACAAGAACACATAAGTTTGACTTTTCTCCACATAAGACAAGAACCTCTCAATGACAGAGTAGGTATTAATAGGAATATGGACTTAGAGCACACTATTTTTATTTATTTGTGTAACTAACATAGTGCTAGACATATAAAAATTATTTTCTGAATAAATCAGTATCTTCCCTATGTGAGAGAACTATAATGTATCATGTTAAATCTATGGTTTTTCTTTGATTCTATGACTTACTACTATGTAACCTAAGGCAAATTACTTAATCAAGTCTAGTCTATATATAAATATTTATGAAGACAGAAACAAATTGCATGTAGAACATTCAGAACAATGCTTTATTAAATGCTAAAAAATCTTTTTAAAATGAGCTGACTCAGAGAAAAAGCTAATTAAGACAAAGTAAACAATGTTCTATATATTGCTATATCCTGACCCTTTTTCTAAATGTTCTTCTTAGGTTAGATATTCCTTGCCAGCTGAAATGACATCAAATATTAAAATTCAAAAACTGGGTACCTCCTCAATAAACAGGAAAGATCAGTAATAAGTAAAGCCTCCAATTTTTACCCAGTTGGCTGGCTTCCTGAGTGTGACTGGCTTTTTCATCAAGACAAAGTTCGGAATTATGGCCTACCTACCAAAAGTATAATTAAAGGGTACATCTGACTAATCAACTACAAAAATTTCTTAAATTTTTGCCTAGAGAAAAAAAATACTTCTTAAATCAAAAGCCAGGTCTTTCCTAATGCCTAGTTCTTAGGGATGCCAAATGTCTAGCCTAGATAGTTTAACTTCTTACTTTAGCCAGCAGTGTAAGAGCTGGAGACTCATTCTGGCCTGAATATCATGTAATCATGTGATGCTACAAGCAGTGTACAGACTTGAAGAATGAGTAATGAAATCTGACTAAAGATTATGTAGCCTTACTTAGATTCTTACATCTTGACTAAAAATCTCTGTGTGTGGAGCACTTACTGATAGAGAATTAGTTAGTCTCTATACCAATTAACCTTAGATACCATGACTTAATAGCTAATGCTCTTTGCAGCTAACACCATAAGCTGGATATTCCTTTCTCTGCAGTTCCAATACACAATTCATCCATTCAAATGTAAGATAAAAAGCTTGATCAAGAAAACTGGCATGAGGTGAAATGTTCTAAGTTCAGTAAAATTTCAAAAAAGTGATTAGGATATTGGGAATCATATCAGGTTCTCTAGTTGGGTTGTTAGGTGGCAACCAGCTTGATGTAAAATCACATGGGGATGACTAAAGCCAGGCCCTGTGAATGTCAACAAGAAAAATTCTAAGATTACTAGAGAAAGACATCTGTCCAGGTACTAAAGAAAAATTTAATATAGATTTATTTTAAAAAACACAAACAGAAGGGCAGGTGGAACGGCTTAAGTGATAGAGTGCCTGCCTGGAAAGCATGAGGCCCTGAGTTCAAATGCCAGGGCTGCCAATAAACAAACAAAAATACAAACAGGGCCAGGTATGGTGGTGCACATCTATAATCCCACCTACTTAGGAGGTAGAGGAAGGAGGACTGAGGTCCAAGGCTGACCCTGACAAAGGTGAGACCCCATCTGAAAAACAAACTAAAAGCAAAAAGAATTGGGGGTGTGGCTCAAGTGGTAGAATGCTTGCCTTGCAAGCTTGAAATCTTGAGTTCAATCCTCAGTACCACAAAACAAAAGCCTACAAACAAGATTTAAAAAGTTGCTATTTAAATTTAAGTAAATTAAAATTAAAGTTTAAAGTTAAGTTCTCAGTTATATTAGCCACTCTTCAAGTACTCAATACCCATATGTGGCCAATTGCTACTGTCTCTGCCCACATAAAGTACATTTTTATCATATAAAGTTATGTAAGACTACACGGTTCTAAAACAAACTCTGAGGCCTGGAGGTACAGTTCAGTGGTAAAGTGCTTGCCTTACATGCATGGGACCCTGGCAATGATCCCCAGCACCATAAAATAAAAAATAAAATATAATATAAAATAACCTCTGTTCAAAACAGAGGCTTGTTTCTACTTTACAATTATAAAATATGAAGCTAGCTGGGCTTAGTGGCCTGCAACTCTAATCCCAGCACTTGGGAGGCTGAGGCAGGGCAGGAGGATTGGGAATTCAAGGCCAACTACATAGTGAGAACATATCTCAAAAAAAAATTAAGGTGACAAAATTTTGTTCATTATTTCCTAGGAAATTAAATTGTATTATAATCAATATTACAGCCAAAGCCAAACTAATGTTCCTGTGTGTCTTGTGAATTCACATCTTTCCCATGATTACCAAAACTGACAAAAAAATTCTTAAAGTTTGGCATTAATGCTTACTAAGTATGCAGAAAAATACTATCTATAAAAATGAGAGTACTGAACCACCTGAAACTGGCCTGGAACTGACATGGATTCTAGAATTAGCACAGTCCATTAAAACATATATTCTATGTGTTCAAAACTTTGAATGGAAGAGAACTTAAAAAGACCCAAGTCAAACTTCTAGAGACAATTACAATACCTGAGGTAAAAAATATATACATACTGTATGGGATTAACAGATGATTTCATACGGAATGAAAGCATAAAGGGAAAAAAAAGAATTTTAAAAATTAAAAGACCATCAGTGAGCTTTAGGAGAACTTTGAGCGGAGGATTACTTCAGAGCTCTGAGGCCAGTGGGATGCTTGACCTCCAGAGCTGCCTCCCTGTCATGTGTGGTTTGCTGCCAGGCAGATCTGAGAGCTCTGAGTGGTCTCTGAATGTCCACAGCATCCACCCTCCCTCAGGATGTTTTGCTACTGGGCAGGGTATGAAAGCACAGACAGAGAACCCAGTTCTCTTGGGTCTCCCCTTCCAGTGCAGAACTCAGTGCTCTGTTTGCTTCCCCCACCCTCTGATGCACCTGGGGGACACTGTGCAGCTTAGACATCTGCTGCCTCTGGGTACAGAAACTGGATGGCCATGCATGGCCCACAGGCTACAAAGCTCACTGGGGCCAGCAGCAGCTCCCTGTATGCAACAAAGAGAAAAGCTTCTAAAGTGAATGCAGTCCTGATTCTCACAATATAATCTTGACTGGCTGTGCCCAAAGCCTGCATACAGCAACAACTTACACAGTGGGAACACAGGACCTACAACAGACTCCAGATACAACCCATTCAACTACCCCAGACCTGGTAGAATCAAATACTACAGGACCTGGAAAAAAGCTTCTCTAATTTTTTTTTAAAACTATATTTTTATGGTAAGTAAAAACTCTATAAGACACAGAAGGGAGAAATTACTACTTGCATTTCAATAATAGCATTACATGTAAATGGTCTTAATTCTCTGATTAAAAAATGCAGACTGGCTGACTGGATTAAAAAAAAATGAAGCCCAACTGTTTATTGTCTTCATGAAACTCACCTCACTGGCAAACACAGGCTTAAAGTGAAAGGATGGAAAATGATATTCTAATCAAATGGGATGTGAAAGCAAGCAGGAGTAGTTATACTTACACCTGACAAAGCACATAAATATCACTTTATATTACTAATAGGAAAAACCCATCGAGAAGATATGACTATTGTAAATATACATGCACTGTTGTAAATATATTTTATAATTGCACCAATTTCATAAAGTACATAGTATTGGACATAAAGGTATAAATAGGTCCAGACAAAATGACAGTAATTACTACAATACCCTGCTCTCATCAATAACACATCATCCCAAGAAAAAAAATCAGCAAAGAAATTTCAGACAAACTGCACCATCTATCAAAAGAACTTAACAGACATCTCAGAATATTCCACCCAATGGTAACAGAGTACATGTTCTTCACAGCCTCCCCTAGGACTTTCTCCAAAATATATTTTAGGCCATAAAGCAAGTTTTAACAAATATACAAAAAATGGAAATAATTTCTTTTATCTTATAAGATCATAATGTAACAAAAACAGAAATCAGTAGCAAGAGTTACCTCAGAAATTATATAAACACATGAGGTTCAACAATATAGTTTTGAACAGTGTGTCATTGAAGAAATCACAGGGGAAAATTTAAAAATTCCTAGAACAAATGAAAATGAAAACGCAACTTAAGAGAACCTTTGAGATACAGCAAAGGCAGTTCTAAGGAAGAAGTTATAGCTATGAGTGACTATGTTAAAATATAACAGAGATCTCAAACAACCTACTGATGTACCTCAAGTTCTCAAGATCTTAGTAAACTAAGACCAAGCCAAACCCAAAGGTAGTAGAAAGAAAGAAAGAAAGAAACTTCAGTGTTGAAATTAATGAAATATATACTAAAAGAATACAAAGGATCAATGAAACAAAGAATTAGTTCTTTGAAAAGGTAAATAAGACTGACAAATCCTTAGCAAACTAACCAAATGAAAGAGAAGACACAAATTAATAAAATTTGAGCTGGAAAAGGAGATCATAAAACATGAGGTCATTACTGGGAGTGAATATCCAAATACATTTATATACATGTATGAAAATGTTATAATGAAACCAATTATTTATTTTGTACAATTAATATATGATAAGAAAGGTTATGATTTTAAAAAGAAACTCTGCATTAAATGCTTAAATTAAGAAAAGAAGAGAGCTGGTGGAGTGGCTCAAGTAGTAGAGTGCCTGCCTTGCGATCATAAGGCCCTGAGTTCAAACCCCAGTACCACCAAAAAAAAAATCAAAAAAAAAAAAAAAGAAAAGAAGAAAGGAATAAGAAGGTATATTACTACTGATACAACTGAAATCCAGATTATTAAGGAATATTTTGAAAACTTATACATCAATAAATTAGAAAATCTAGAAGAAATAGATGAATTTCTGGAAACATGGAACCTACCAAAATTGAACCAAGAAATATAAACAATCCAAAAAACACCAACAAGAAGCAATGAGATTGAAGCAGTAATATCCTTTCTCCCTACAAAGAAAAGTCCAGAACTGGATGGACTCACTGCTGAAGTCTACCAGACTTTAAAAGAAGGTTCCATGCTCCTTGAACTATTCCATAAAAAAGAAAGGGAAAAATGCGACCACACTCATTCTAGGAAGCCAGTATTACCATTGTAAACCATAATCAAGTTGGTTTCACTCCAGGGTTGCAAGGTTGGTTCAACGTGCAAATCAATAAACATTATATAGCACATAAAATAGAATCAAGAATTTAAAAATCACATTATCATTACAACAGCAGAAAAAGCCTTTGACAACATTCAACATCCCTTTATGATAAAACGAGGAATAGAAGTATCACACCTCAACATAAAAAAGGCTATGTATGAAAAACACATAACCAACATTATACTGAACGGGGAAAAATTGAAAGTATTTCCTCTGAAATCAGGAACAAAGACAAAGGCATCCATTCTCATCACTCTTATTCAATATAATGCTTGAAATCTTAGAGTGATACATCTAAAAAAAGAAAAAGGGAGATACAAATAGAAAAAAAAAGTCAAAGTATCCCTCTTTTAAGATGATATGATCCTATACTTAAATAATGTTTAAAAACCCACTACAGGACTCTTACTTAGATCAGATGAAGAGTCTGAGCAACATAACAGGATACAAAGTCAACACACAGCTGCACATGGAGGCATGTGCTTGGAAGCTCAGCACTTTGGAGGCTGAGGCAGGAGAACTGTAAGTCTGAGGCAAGCCAGAGCTGCAGAGTAAGACCTGTCTCAAAAAGCCAAAAACAAAAACACAAACAATAGCAACAACAAAACACACCTCAAATAGACATACAAAAATTAGTTGCTTTATACCACTCTTGGGGATATACCCAAAGGAATGTGACTCAGGTTACTCCAGAGGTACCTGCACACCCATGTTTATTGCAGCACTATTCACAATAGCCAAGTTATGGAAACAGCCAAGATGCCCCACTACTGATGAATGGATCAAGAAATGTGGTATTTATACACAATGGAATTTTACTCAGCCACAAAGAATAAAATTTTGTCATTTACAGGTAAAGGGATAAAACTGGAGAATGTTATCTTAAGCAAAGTTAGCCAGGCTCAGAAGAATAAAAATTGTATGTTTTCCCTCGTCTGAGGATTTTAGACCTAAAACAAATGCAGTAGTAGTATTATTGGACGTGGGTCACACACTAATGGGAGAATGTGCAGGGGAGGAATAGGGAAAGGAATGGAAACCTAAAACTTGAATTTGGCTGATGTGCCCACTGTAGGCAAGCAAATATAGTAATCTCAAACTGACAGAGGCCACTATGGGAAGGTGACCAAGAAGTAGTAAAGAGGTCTGGTAGAAATGAACCAATGTGGGTTGTAGTACACATATGCATGGAAGCAATGCTAAGAATCTCTCTTTATATCTATCTTTATCTCAAACCAGCAAAAATGCTATGTCTTTCTTATTATTGCTTTATTTTTTCTCTTCAACAAAATTGGAGAACAAGAGGGCAAACAGGTTCTGCCTGGAAGCGGGGTGGGGGTGAGGGCAGGGGAGAGGTGCCCAAACAATGCAAACACATATGAACAAATGTAAAAACAATGAAATAAAAGAACATAAAAAACAGCTGCTTTTCTATATATCAATAATGAAAATGCTAATAAGAAAGAAATCAGGAAAAAATACTATTCACAATAGTCCCCCAAACAAAAACAAAAACAAATAAACAAAAACCTTAGGAATAAACCTATCCAAGAAGGAGAGAGACCCCTACAATGAAAACTATGAAACACTGAAGAAACTGAAGAAAACATTAGGAGATGGAAAAAAAAAATGCCCAAAGTCGTGGATCAGCAGAATTAGTATTGTGAAAATGGCCATGCTTCCAAAAGTGGTGCACAGGTGTAATTAGAGAGCCATAGTAACAAAACCGGCATGGCACTGGCACAAAAACACGCAGGGAGACCAATGGAATGAGAAGACCTGGAAATAAACCCAAGCAACTATAGCTATCTTATTGTCAACAAAGGTGCCAAAATGTATGTCAGAGAAAGACAGTCTCTTTAACAAAAGGTGATGGGAAAATTGGATAACCACATTTCAAAAGACTAAAACTAGATCCCTCTCATCTTGCACAAAAATCAACTAAGATGGATGAAAGACTGTAATGTGAGACCTGAAACTCTGAAACCATTAGTAGGCCTGAACAATACTATCAACCAATATGACTTGATCAGTAGTGTACCCAACAGCAGTAGAACACTCATTCTTCAAGTGTGCATACAATATTTATCAAGGTAGACCATAAATCAGGACATAAAACAACTTTCAACAAATATCAAACAATTCAAGTCAGACAATGTATGTTCTCTGACCCCCGAAGAAGTTAGAAACCACTAACAGAAATTACTAGTCAAAAAATGCCCACATATTTGAAACTGAATGATAAACACTGCTAAAATAATCCACAGATGGGCTAGATATGTAGCTTAGTGGTAGAATGCCTGTTTAGCATGTACCAAGCTCTGGATTCAATTCCCAGCAGTGCAAAAACTAAAACTAAAAATTCATGGATAAAAACAATCAAGTCTAGCTTTTAATATATCATTTTGTACATCGGTACTGCTATACAAAAATCAATTGTTTTTTGTTTTTTAAGATAGGATCTCACTATGAAGCCCACGTTGGCTTGGACTCGGGATCCATCTGCTTCAGCCTCCCAAGAGCTGGGATTACAAACTTGCACCATCATACTTAACTTCAATTTTTTAATCTAGCCACCAATTAAAAAAATACTGACTTAGAACAGATGACTTATCTTTTGGCCACCAATTGCATATTTTCAAGACTAGTAAATGGTAAATTACTTATGTGCCAGCATTCTCCTATGTGCTTAATGCATGTTAATTCTTTTCATCTTCACAATAGGTGTTCTTATTTCCTCTTTATAAATAAGGAAACTGAACCACTGAGAGATTAACAAACTTCCGATGACCAAAGTCTAATAAATAGATTTGAGCCCAGGCAGTCTAGTAGCTCCAGGCTCAATAATCTATATTGCATATGCTTGCCTTTTTTGATTGTGAAATTTTTATTTTAAGCTCTGATTACAGAATCTGATTCTCACCACAGAGGTAACTCCACTGTCTCTGAAAAACTACCTCAAATGCATTGCTGAACACATAAAACAGAGCAATCAGTTAAAATTTTTGTTAGTTAGATTTGGTCAACTAAAATTCACTTACTGCTTCTCTCCTCCTCCGCTCTTGCTCTTTCTCTCTTGCTAAATTACGTTCTTTGAGAAGCCAAAGCTTGCATTTGTCTTGAGCTTCCAAAGACTGCTGATGTTCTTTCTGCTCTTCTCCATGGCATCTGCTTTGGATCTTATTTGCAAAAGATTCTAGTGTCAATCCATTTCCAAGGTCCCTTAATGAAACAGTAAAGCTCAAAGTAGGTTTCAAGTTCCTTAAAACTTTTTATTACAAAGATACATTATTAAATAACAATTGTAAAGCAATATGCTAGATACCCATTTTCCTATGTTATAGCATTATTTTAAATTTTGTCTTTGGGGTGTCAAATTTTACATAGGGTAATCTGTATTAACAACAACAAAATGAAAGGTTTTGGAAAACTGACTAAAGTGCACCATTATCTTCCTACATGTGGAATGAAGAACCTTGAAGATATGTCTGGAAAATAAAGCCATTAATCACTTGATTACTTCTATCTTCTTCAAAATAGGTGCTACCACTTATAAAAATATCAATAAAAACGCATGTTTTGCAATTGTAATTTGTTCTGTGTTCTACTAAACAGCTGAACCATAGTCACTTGACAAATATTTAAAATATATTTCTATATAGTTAGAAAACCCAAAATATGAAAGTGTTTGATGTCTCCACTCCAGAGGAGCTAATACAGAAACCTTAAAGCAACAGAGGTTAACATGAGAAGGGGATCAGTAACCAGGGTAAAGATCAGTTAGAGATGAATCAACATGGGTCATAACATGTGTACATGAAAGCAATGCTAGGAGTATTTCTGGATAGCTGTCCTCAACTCAACTAGTAAAAACACTTTCCCTTCCTTATTAGGCTTGTCTCTTTTCCTCAACAAAACTAGTAATAAAGGCAGAACAGAACCTGCCTGGAACTGAGAGGGGAAGTAGGGAGAGGGTGGGGGAGGGGGGCAGAGGGAAGAAATTACCCAAATAATGTATGCACATGTGAATAAATTAATAAAAAAAATATGTATTTCTATAACTGCCATGGAGTTCTTTAATCCAGTAAATTACAGACCTCTGATTTTCTTGAGCTATTTTTGGTTCCTTTGTATTTTGTTCCAAATGTTTCCGTATTAGTTCTTGTGTTCGAGCTTTTACTTCCTTTTCTATTGCTGCTTTTCTAAACTGGTTGAAGAGCTCATCAGAGGACTTCAGTACACCTGATGATTTCACTGGTTTGCCTAAACTTTTCCAAGAGTCTGCATTCTTAATCTTTATATCCTAAAATAAATAAATGTATTGTTCAGTCTATGTCTACAGATGTCAATCAAATTTCAGAAGGAAGACAATTATCTTTTGACATAGTAATAGATCAAATTAAGATTCCAAAGGCCATGTACTGTTACTAAAGGTTCCTAAAGAAAGAGGGGAATGTAAAAACAAAGTAACAGATCATTTAAATTTAGTTATTCTCTCCTAAGACTAACTAAAGTAGCATGGTTGTCAATTATTTTAATTTAATGTGATACATATGTATATGTAGCTTATAATAATTGCAAGGAGTATAAAAACAAGTGGTCAACTCACTGTAATCAAGACACTTATGCTCCTGTAGGGAAAATAAAGCAAATATGCAAATGATTAATATGAGGCAAAGCATGATTATGCCATTAAGAATGGAGCTGCATGGAATTGGCTGAGAAACCTCTGACATACCATGTCTTTTCTTATTAACTGATGTTATTTCCTTATTAACTCATGTGACCACTGTTCTTAAGATATACCATGATTGAGATCAGTGCTACACAACGGAAATATATGCAATATAAAATTTCCTAGTACACATTTAAAGTTTAAGTTAAAATTTTAATAATATCTTTAATTTTATTTAGTGAAATATACTCAGAGCATTGCTATTTCAACATGTGATTAAGCTAAAAGATTTTACATTTTTTCATATGAAGTCCTCCAGATTATTTATTTTGCTTATAGCATTTCTTAAATTCTAAATTCTGATTAAAAATAATTGAACTGCAAATGCAAAACCCTGAGTTCAAATCCCAGTCTACCCAAAAAACCCAATTGAGCTATAATTAATTTAAAAACTTATAAAATAGTTAAATGGAACTAAGCCATTCCAAACATATTTAAGTTTTCTAATAACTGAATTGTGTCAGTTTTAAAATTCAAATTAATTCAAAGAAATAAAATTTAAAACTTAGCTTCTTAATTGCTCCAGCCACATTTCAAGGATCCAGTGGCTACATGTCACTACTACAGGTCTAGATGGTTTTTTAAGAATTAACCTGCCTATCTATGGTAAGAAAAGAGGATTATTATGTAATACCCTTTTAATGTTTTTCTTTTTATAACTGTCTCCTTAATAATTATACTTGAATTTTCTTTTGATATAGTTCCATGAAATATTAAACTTTGTCTAGGGTTCCATGTAAGGCAAAAGAAAAGTTATGACTGATAGCCATAGTCCTTCAATTTCTGTCCCAAAATAGTAAGTCAGAATATCCCTCCCCACACCCTGCCACCTACACAGGGACCTTTGCCAATGGTCACCCAGTTGTGCTTTCGAAGTCTTTCCTATAAATTGTCAGTAAAGTCTGTTTTTGTCCTTACTAATGGAATAAGCTAAACACCAGTTCCAAAGCTCACATGACTAGTCAACTGAAGAATCTCACTTTCCAACAGAGATTTGAAATAGGACAGGCAATGCCTGGTGGTATTTTAATAGGGGATAAAGACAGGATGAAATTATGGCCAAATTTCTATTTCATTCCAATAAAATTTTGGCAGAGTATCAAATAGGAAAGTTTACAGGTATCATGAAGAATGAAAAAACTTTTGATAGGTATACATGAGGATAGAAAACATTCCTCTATGTCTGGAGAGAAATGAATAATTTGGTTTCAATAAACTACAACCATATTAGTTAAGAATGATGGGTCAAACTGGGATCACAACACACAGGTTTAATCATTCTGGAGGTGGAAGTTGGAAACCAGTAAAGTTTTCATACAGATGAGTAACATGATCAGAGCAGTTCATCAAGAAAACTAACATAAGAAGGTTGAAGTGGAACTGATTAGAAGGCAGTCCATGTCAGTCATTCCAGGACTGGTTATAGATGTTAAAATAGCGAAAATAGAGGCTATCAGGTCTGGTTTCTGTGGTAAGAAGGTGAAAAGAGTTATCTTTAGTAAAGATAAACTTTAGCAGTTTAGCAATTCCTGACTATAGGGGACCAGGAAGTTGTCAAAAATGATAATACTTAAACTGAAATCATGGTAGATGTTCAATCCAAAAGAAGTAGTAGACAGCCTTTGGATATCATACCATATCAAGGCATTGGGAGGGATGCAGCTATTTCAGAATTCAATGGTTCCTCAGGGAGGACAAATTACAGACATAGCAGAATAGCTAGATGCTTGGAAAATTAAGACCCTGGCTCTCAGCTTGGGTGATTTTTCCACCCACTTCTCACCAAGGCAAACACTTGGTGATGTCAGACATTTTTGGCTGCCATATGGTCGGGGGGGGGGAGGTACTTCTGGCATTCAGAGGGTTAGATTTTGGTTAAGCACGCTATAGTGCAGAAACCTGCCCCCAACATAGATTTACCCAATCTAACATGTCAATTATACTGTTGTTGAGAAACTACGGTTGAAGACGAAAAGAGATAGTGAGAAAATAAGGTACAAAGGACTAGAGGATAGAAGCTATAGAATGGCAAAACTTCACAATAAAACTATTGAATGAAAGAAAATTATTAACAGATGAGAGAGAAAGTAAGAAGAGACAAGGAATAAGTAAATAAGAGAAGAACCTCTAGCTTTGTTAGAGTAGAAACTTGAATAGTTAAGAGCTTGCTCGAATCTTTCATTTTACCTCTAGCTCTTATTTGGGGAAGATGCTTGAATCATCTGAGTTGCAGTTTATTTGTGAAGACTAACTCTCAAAAATTTCTTGTAGCATCAAAATTGTACAGCTCTCCTTTCAATAAATGTTACAATTGCTAATACTGAGGGTGCAAGGGTGGGAAGTTGCTTGACCATCTCTTATGAAGAGAACAAACTACACAATCCCATCTTTTCTTAAGCTTTCATCCCCATTTAGTTAGTGCGGTGTGCTAGTCTTTATAGTAGATAAGCCACTTTCATCCTAGCACAAGCTTCAATGGTTTAACATACACCTAATTTTCTTATGGTTATTTTTGCTGTGATCCTTTTGTCTTTTTAGAAATTTTATTGTTCTTTTTAAACTTATTTTGGGCCAGTAAAGATAAATCTTTGTTAAACTAGAAATGAAAAGACTGTGATATATAGGAAATCAAATGTTTGATTTAAGAAACTCTGTAGCAGTATTCTTTTTTACCTAAAGGGGATGACACACAAACAATAAAATAGAAAATTACTGTTGGTTTTTAGAAAAGGTAACTTTAAATGTTTCTAATCGATACTTATCAATAGCAAAATAGCTACATTAAACTCACTCATAGTCAGTCTTTAATAATAACAACTACTAGTAGAGAATTATGTAAGAAATCACAGCTATTGAGTAGGGATGAAGCTCAGTGGTAGAGCACTTGCCTAGCAGGCATGAGGCCTTGGGTTTCATCCCCAGTACTAGAAAAGAAAGGAAGGAAGGAAGACAGAAAGGGAGAGTGAGAGGGAAGAAGAAATTTAGCACTAGGGCCAAGTCTGTATGCTCCACAGAATGTGATTTAGATTTCTTAAGTGTACACAAACAATAATCTCAACATTAAAACTGAAGTTTGTCCTTTGAAGTACTTACAAGGAAAAAAGAAGGGGAGGAGAGAGGGAGAGGGAGAAGGAAAAGGAGAGGAAGAGAGAGAGCGAGCGAGAGAGAAGACATATAGAACAAATATCCCTTCATATGTAGTTTCTGAGAATTATACTCAAATACCTAAAATAGCACCTGATATACCTAATACATCTCAAACATCTATAATGTTGGTTAAAAGACTGATATCAGTGTGTGGTTTGAAGATTAAGCACATGTAAGACTCATTAAAAATTCCCCTGCTCAGATTTTAAAAGATGATTTTATGACACGCTTTAAAAAATCAGGATGGCCAACCCCTGGGTAGGCTGCACATGTGGACGCTGCTCTGGGGGAGTTCCAGAGTTGACCATCTGGGAAGCAAGAATCAAACAGTGCTTCAGTTCTCCAGTATAGAAAGTGTAAAAGTAGAGAGATTCCAAGATGGCGACTAGAGGGAGGAAGCAGAAAGCGTGCTTCCTAAAATAAAATCTCCGAGAGATGCTGGAGATACACCTTACAGGAAAAACCACTGAGAAGAGGCAAAACTCTGACCCTTCCACACCTCAGCCTGAGCATAGCATCCCCACTCCACGTTAAACGGAGAAACCAGGAGGGATCCTGCACCGCCGGATGCCAGCACCCACACCGCTTGGGAAGAAGCAGACCACCAGGTGAGCTAAGCGGTATGCAGTACTCCCACAGACAACCCTGGGCCACATCAGCATAGCCCCCTGGATAGATGACCCCCACCCAGGGAAAAAAGAGAAAAAAAACAAACTGAATAAACAACAACAACAACAAAAAAAACATGTAGCAAAGAGGGTGGGGTGCCCTGAGCGCTGAAGAGGGGGGCAGGGCAATCCCCCACGGAACTGTAAATAAACAAGCCGGCCAGAGAAGGCAGGAGTGGCGGCACCCACCCAGCAACCAGGAGTGGGAAAGCTTGTAAAAGTGGCAGTGAGAGGAGAGGGGGGAAGGGACACCTCCCACATGAACTGTAAATAAACACACTGGCTGGAGAAGGCAATGTAGCGCCACCTCCCCCAGTGTGCTTGGAGAGGGGAAACCTTGTAATCAATAAAGCCTCCAGCAACAGCTAGCTGACAGCAGTGGGCAGGTGAGCCACAGCCTCAGATAGACATTCACAAAGCTGTCTCCAGATTCTTTTTTTTTCTTTTTCTCTTCCTTTGATGAGACAACAACCGAACTACACCTGCATGCTGAAAAGCTTAGTGAAATTGTATTGCATTTGAACTTGGGACACTTTGTTGTTTTTTTTTTTTTGTTTTCTTGGTTTTTTTCCCCTTTGATAACACAACAACAGAACTACTTCTGAGACACTATCTCCAGGATTGGAGGTTGAGGGACTAACACCAAAATTATTAAAACTGAAACTTCATTGCATTTGAACTTGAAGATTTTTTTTTATCCTCTGTCTCTCTAATGCCTGCTTAGCTTACTGTTGATTAGTACACTATCTCTCCCTGTTTATATCTTTGACACTATTTTTATTGTTGTTTGTTTTGGTTTTTTTTACATGTTTATTTGTTTTTCCCTTTTTTCTTTACCTTCTTTGCTTTCCCTCTCCTCTCACCCTTCCATTCTAAATATCATCATTGTTATTATTACAAGCTAGAAAATACTTAATTGCACACAGTACAGAGACAATAACAACACAAAGGGCAATGATGGGAAGACAGAAAAAACAGGGAAACCAGTTTCCCCACAGCAAACAATTAGTACAGGAACCAGAGGGAAATGAAGAAAACAGATACTCAGATCCAGACTCCAACAAAATGAAGATAAACTATGCCAAAGAACCCAATGAAGCCCACAAGAACACTCTGAAAGAAGAAATCCTCCAAGTAATCAATGAGAATTTTATACAGATGATACTGGATAAGGTCAACCAAAATGTACAGGAGACACTCAAGAAATTCCAAGACAACAAAAATAGAGAATTTGAGAAAGCACAAGAAGAAATAAAAGAAATCATAGAAGCACTATATAAACACTAAAGTGAAACAAAGAACATGATTAATAAAGAGATAAATGAACTCAGGACAAAAACAGACAACATTAAAAAGGAAGTGACTCAGGATATGGAAAACCTCAGAAAAAAGAACGAAACAGAAATGTAAAACACGTGGAAGGCCAATCAAGCAGAATAGAACAGCAGAAGACAGAATCTCAGAACTCGAAGATGAAATGGTAATTAAAGGAAAAACAGAAGAACTATTAGTTAAACAACTTAAGACCTGTGAAAAGAAAATGCAAGAACTCACTGACTCCATCAAAAGACCAAACCTGAGAATCATGGGCATTGAAGAAGGAGAAGAGGTGCAAGCAAAGGGAATGTGTAATATATTCAACAAAATAATTACAGAAAATTTCCCAAATCTAGAGAAATCTATGCCCATACAGATACCGATATTAACTCAAAATGGATCAAGGATCTTAATATCAGACCCCAAACTCTAAAGTTGGTATAGGAAAGAGTAGGATATACTCTGGAATTAATAGGTATAGGCAAGGACTTCCTAAATAGAATCCCAGCAGCTCAGCAACTAAGAGATAACATAGATAAATGGGACTTCATAAAACTAAAAAGCTTCTGCTCAACAAAATAAATGGTCTCTAAACTGAAGAGACCACCCACAGAATGGGAGAAAATATTTGCCAGCTACACATCAGATGAAGGACTGATGACCAGAATATATAGGGAACTCAAGAAACTAAATTCTCCCAAAATTAATGAACCAATAAAGAAATAGGCAAGTGAACTAAACAGAACTTTCTCAAAGGAAGAAATTCAAATGGCCAAAAAACACATGAAAAAATGCTCACCATCTCTAGCAATAAAGGAAATGCAAATTAAAACCACACTAAGATTCCACCTCACCCCTGTTAGAATAGCCATCATTAGCAACACCACTAACAACAGGTGTTGACCACTAACAACAGGTGTTGGCGAGGATGTGGGGAAAAAGGAACCCTCTTACATTGCTGGTGCAAATGTAAACTAGTATAACCACTCTGGAAAAAAATTTGGAGGCTACTTAAAAATCTAAACATTGATCTACCATGTGATCCAGCAATACCACTCTTGGGGATATAACCAACAAAATGTGACTCAGGTTACTCCAGAGGCACCCACACACCCATGTTTATTGCAGCACTATTCACAATAGCCAAGTTATGGAAACAGCCAAGATGCCCCACTATTGACGAATGGATTAAGAAAATGTGGTATCTATATACAATGGAATTTTATGCAGCCATGAAGAAGAATGAAATGTTATCATTCGCAGGTAAATGGATGGAACTGGAGAACATTATTCTGTGTGAGGTTAGCCAGGCCCAAACGACCAAAAATCATACATTCTCCCTCATATGCAGACATTAGATCAAGGGCAATCACAACAAGAGGATTGGACTTTGATCACATGATAAAGCGAGAGCACACAAGGGGAGGTATGAGGATAGGTAAGACACCCAAAAAACTAGATAGCATTTGTTGCCCTCTATGCAGAGAAACTAAAGCATCTGAGGCCAATAGGAGAAAGGGACCAGGAACTAGAGAAAGGTTTAGTTCGAGAAGAATTAACTTAGAAGGTAACACACATGCACAGGAAATCAATGCATGTCAACTCCCTGTATAGCTATCCTTATCTCAACTAGCAAAAACCCTTGGTCCTTCTTATTATTGCTTATATTCTCTCTTCAACAAAATTAGAGATAAGGGCAAAATAGTTTGTGCAGGGTAGCAAGGGGTAAGGGGGTAAGGGAGGGGGTGAGGGAAGGGGGGAGAAATGACCCAAGCATTGTATGCATGTATGAATAAATTAAAAATTTTTTTAAAAATCAGGACAAGAGGCTGAGGACATAGCTCGATGTTGACACACATGTTTAGTATATAAAAGGCCCTGGATTCTATCCCCGGCAGAACAGCAGCAGCAAAAAAGGAAAGAAGGAAGAAGAAGAAAAAGAAGGAAGGAGGAAGGAGGGAGGAGAAGGAGGAGGAGAAGAATCAAATAAAAGAAATTGGGATGGCAGTTACACATAAGCATGAGGAATGATGGTAGTGGATGGAGGAAAGGTGTTGCTTACATGTATTTTCTTTTAATTACATAAGCAAAAATTATGCTTAGAGATACAAAAATCTCATTCAAGTCAGGGCTTAACATGGTACTTGCACAAAAACAGACATGAAGACTGGTGGAACAGAATAGAAGACCCAGATGTGAATCCATGAAGCTATGCCTACCTGATTTTTGACAAAGGCACCCAAAACATGCAATGGAGAAAAGACAGACTATTCAACAAATGTTGCTGAGAAAACTGAATATCTGTAAGCAGAGCACTGAAACTAGATCCATGTCTTTCACCCTGCAGGAATAGTAACTCAAAGTGCGTTAAGGACTGTAATGTAAGACCTGAAACTTTGAAGCTAGTGCAAGAGCAGAGAATACACTAGAATCCATAGGAATAGGCAATGACTTCCTAAATAGAACTCAAATGTCTCAGCAACAAAGAGGAGATAGGACTGACATCTAACTGACAATGGGTTAATAACCAGAATACATAGGGAATTCAATAAACTAAATTCCCAAAAAAATGACCCATGGAAGAAATGGGCAAATGAAATAAACAGAGCTTTTTTAAAGAAGTCCAAATGGCAAAAAAAAAAAAAAACACATGAAGAAATGCTCAACCTCCCTGGCCATAAAGGAAATGCCTCACTCCTGTTAGAATGGTCATCATTAAGAACACAAACAACAATAAATGTTGGTGACGATGTGGAGCAAAAGGAACCCTCACACACTGCTGGTGGGAATATAAATTAGTACAATCACTATGGAAAACAGTATGGCGGCTCTTTAAAAAACTGAAAATAGAACTGCCATTGTACCCAAAAGAACATAAGTCAGGTTACAATAAAGGCACCTGCACATCCATGTTTATTGCAGCATTATTGTGAAGCTGCGTTCAAACCCCAGACCCACCAAAAAAAATTATTGCAGCATTATTCACAATAGCTAAGCTATGGAAACAGCCAAGATGGAATTTTATTCAGCCACAAAGAAGAATGAAATTCTGTTGTTTGCAGGTAAATAGATAGAACTAGAGAACATCATCTTAAGTGAAGTTAGCCAGTTCAGAAAGTCGAAGGCCACACGCTTTCTCATAGGTAGAACAGAGATGCAATACAAACACAGAAATATCATGAAAACTGGTCACACTAAGGGGAAGTCACACAGGAGAGAGGCAGGGTAAAAGAAGGAAGTTAAGAAGGTGAATAAGGTTGATGTACTTCTTATATGAGAATGAACATAGAATTTTTAAACCTGCTGAAATCACAAGAAGGGGACTAAGGTAGAAAAGAGAAAAATAGAGGGGATGAATCAATTTGAGTTATAATACATATATACATATATATATATATATATATATATATATGGAAATGTCACAATGAAACTCCCTGTAGAGCTATTTTAAACAAACAAAAATGTCTTTAAAAAAAAAAAGAGAGAACAGGAAGGTAAACCAGGGGTTTGGGGGTTGGTACCTTTCCTTAGGGACATAAGGAAAGGGCAGAGGAGGTGAATGTGGTAGAAATATCATGTACACACATATGTAAATGGAAAAGTGAGACCTGCTGAAACTGTTCCAGGAATGGGGATAAAAGAGAATGATGGAGAGGGTGAACTCAACTATGATACAGTGTAAGAACTTTTGTAAATGTCACATTGTATCCCCAGTATAACAATAATTTTTAAAAAAAAGGAAAGAAAAAAAGTTAGGGTTTAAAATATCTTTTGTCCCAATTCAATTTTAAATCCCTTTTAAAAAATAACTTGCTTTTACCTTCTGCACAGGAACTTGACATTCAGATTCTAACACCATTGTGTCATTATCACCAGATGGATGCATCACAGTGGGGCCATCTAAGACTTGTTGGGAATCACCTAGAAGCACACATTTTTAGAATGGCATAATCAAAATATTTCATCATATTCAGAATTTTTTCTTCTTTTTCCCTGCAAGCTAGACACTATGAGTATAAAATAACTAATTTTTCATGCATCTTAACTTTGGAGCATTCTTCCCTGAGGACTTTGTTATACTGTAAAAGTAAACATTTCTCCTTTGAAAGTGACCTTTTGTTGTTGTTGTTATTGTTTGTTTTAGTTTTGGTCAGCATGAGGAATAATGGAAATCGTAGTTGACTGGCCAAAATCTATCTTTTCTGTCCCCCTGCTGTAGAGCTCTTCAGTTTGTGGACTAACTTCAGCTCCAGAGGTGGGTCTTGATTAAGCTAAAAGAGTGATGACCATTCTGTTTCCCTACCAGTAACTCAGGAAGAGCAACTAATACCGGAAAAGACAGTGATGGGTGGCCAATCTGAGAACAAATAAAACACGAAGAATTGGAAAACAGAGACCTGACATAGCTGATTATGATAGCTAGTGAGCTGGTGATGGGTTAAGAAATGCAAAACTTTGACTCTCTAAGGTGAAGATAACCATTAAATCTTGTTAACTCTTTTTCTTCTTCTTCTTTTCTTCTTCTTCTCCTCCTCCTCCTCCTCCTCCTCTCCTCCTCCTCCTCCTCCTCCTCCTCCTCTCCTCTCCTCCTCCTCCTCCTCCTCCTCCTCCTCCTCCTCCTCCTCCTCCTCCTCCTCCTCCTCCTCCTCCTCCTCCTCCTCCTCCTCCTCCTCCTCCTCCTCCTCCTCCTCCTCCTCCTCCTCCTCCTCCTCCTCCTCCTCCTCCTTCTTCTTCTTCTTCTTCTTTTTTTTTTGTGCTAGGGATTGAACCCAGACCCTCTTATTAATTCTTAAGCTTTCATACAAATATTTCATTTGTTATTATGGGTGAAGATAAACTACAGAAATAGATTATAAACCCTGATCAAACCATGCCAAAAAGATTGAACTACCTTTGTCCTCCTGGATATGTATGCTACAAAATGCCTTATTGTTTAAGTCAATTTGAGTTGAGTTTTCCATAATTTACAACCAAGAGCATACTGATGTATGAAACTTAACTGATCATTTGTTTTAATACTTTGTAGTCTTTGTCTATAGGCCTAATTAGTATCCAAAGCACAGAGGAGACAAACTAAAACTGAATTACTGTTTTTGTTAACTGACTCAAGATCACAAAATCCTGATTATTTACAAATTGTAGGAGCTTACACCTAAGCTTCTACCACCCATCAGTCCCTCGACTGATTCTCTGGCTAAACCACACTTATTGAAGGTGAGACTAAAAGGAGAGCCAGAAGCATCAGAGAATAGAAGTGAGCATAGCAAGAACAAAACATTTCCTCATTCTACTCATTCTACCTTGAAATTTTGACCTTTTCTGTCTTTCCATCATTTCATTTTTTTTCCATCCAAGTGAGCCCAATTGGTTTCCTCCATATCTCTAATCTCTATGAGCCATTTCCTCGATTAGCCTAAATAATATCGGCAGATTCATTATCTTGAAGCACACTCTGAAAAACCTTCACTGGATCCCCACTTACTATATCTTTATCACTAAACCCACAGCATCTAGATTCCAAGGTCTTTATGATCTGTATCTGTTGTCTACCTTTCAAATGTATTTTCCCACATTCCTGTGAATCCAAGCAAAACTTTTTTTTTTTTCCTTTGGTGGTACTGGGGTTTAGCATTCTGCCACTTAAGCCATGCCTCCAACCTTTTTTGCTTTAGGTTATTTTTCAGAGAGGAACTTGCTTTTGACCCAGAGCCAGCCTTGAAGCATGATCCTCCTACTCATGGCCTCTCATATAACTGGGATTACAGGTGCACACCATACCATTGCAGCAGGCTTGTTTTGTTGAGATGGGGGTCTTCTAAATTTTTGCTGGCCTTGAACTATGATCCTCCTGATCTCTCCCTCCCCAGTAGCTGTTGAATTACTGATTTCTTAAATAAAAGCACATATATTCTGCTTCCTCCATTTGGAATGCCTGTCAGTTCCAGATATACATAGGGAAGTCTTATTTTATTCTCCAATGCCCAGCTCAAATGATACTTAGTCTGTAAAGTATGCATCTGTCAAAGAAATCAGGTAATTCTGCCTTCCCTACTTCCTTAAATTTTGCTTTTGCTTCTTTTAAGTTATGCTGTTTTCACTTTATAGCTAAGTTTGTCATTTCTTCTACAAGTTGGCAAACTCCCTGATTTGTCTTTTCACTTGCCATGTGAATTTATGTTGATATGGCAGAATTAGTATTTTTTTTAAAAACAATTCAGTGAAGATTTTTAAGTGATAGGGAGAGGACAAATTGTAAGGATTGGGTTAGTAATCTTTTGTGACTAAAAATTTCAACTTAATGAAAGGGAAATGTTCCTTTTTATGTGAAGGTGAAAAATTGGAGGCATGAAGAAAATGTCAAAATATTTTTCAATGAGAAAATTTCAGCATAAAATTTATTAATCATTTAAATTTAAGATAAGGTTTAACCAAAAGTTCATTTCCATTGCAATTAAACTCCAGAAAAGTAAATTTCTCTCTCTATTTGTATACAGTTGCAATTTCCCTTGGGCATAGCGCCACCTACAGTTGCCAAATACTACAGTAGAATGAATAGCCAACTTCACTTCATCCAAACTCCCTTTACATGATACTGTTTCTTACAGGCAACACGTAACATAATCTGAGATAATGCAGTAGACTTATCCTTTCTGAGGATTTAGCTATTAAAAGCTTGTCTTTTCAGAGATAGAGTATTTTCTTAAAATAGGGATAAAATACCCTTTTTGCATTATTTTTACCATTGCTTTTCATTGTATTTATTCCTTTTCAAGGGCAAGTCTATCCTTACTATTCTTCTACAAACATACTCTAACATAAGGAGCAAGTTTTCCCTACTTTTTTACTAATCAGCCTTCAATGTATTCCCATCTCTCAAATTCAAACACTCAAAAACAAAACAACCTCACACACTGCTTGAAAAAAAAAATCCATCTTCCTGTTAAGGCCCCAGCCATCTTCACCAACAAGCTTTACCCGGGTTATGTTATTTCTCGGTTTATAGCAGTTTGGCTATGAATTCACAGTGGCTATGAAAACAGCACCAGCTTTGATCCTCTCCAGTCCTCTCCAGTCCTCACCCCAGCTCAACGCTGCTCTGCAGTGTGTGATACTTGTGACACTAGTTTCTATTTAAAACCTTCCTTGCTGTGTTTCTATTATACCATTTCCACGTTTCTCCTATCTATGATTACCCCTTCTTTTTTTCTTTCTTTTTTTGAGATGAGGTTTCTCTGTGTTGTCCAGGCTGGTGTTAAACTTCTGAGCTCAAGAAATCCTCTGGCCTCAGTTTCCTGAGTAGCTGAGATTACAGATGTACCTATTACCTCTGGATTATCTCTTATTTCTTCTTTTACTGAGGTTTTCTTAGAATTTTGTCTTTCTGAATCTGCACATTTCCCTGGTTATTATTCATTTTCATGACTTCAGGTAGCTTCTGTATGATGTGAAGGCAATCTAGCTATGGTATCTGTCACCCCACTGCTCTCCATGGTTTATTCAGCTGATCTGTCTGGCTAGGTGGTGTCCCTTCTTCCCTCACCATTCCATGTGAATCTCTCAAGAAGCTACACACTCTGTTGAAGGCGACAACCATCCTGGACAGAGGAGGCCTGTTCTTCTGTCAAGTGTCTATGAGTAGCTGCACTCCCCTGCTAGAACTTCCAAGCAAGCTCTCAATACTGGCAATTCCTAAATTACATCCTGTTACATCCTGTTAGTTCCAGATGCCCATTTTTTTTTATGTTTTCAGTTAGATATTGTATAGTATCTTATTTGCTCCAAATAAGCTCTACCTCTTATTTTTAATCCAACTATTAGGTAATCTCCTGGAAGGTTATTTATTCTAGCAAAGTCTATTAATTATGCCATAGAATATGTTTCTAATCCATATCTTTTCTATAGCTTATGGCATCAGTTTGGGTTGTAATAATAGATTACAACACCTACCTCCCTGACTTAGTCCTAACTACATCACAGCATCCTCATCTTAATTCACTCTCTAGCTAGTAGCAATCTCTTCCTGGTATGAAATCCTTTTTTTTTTTTTTTTTCCCCAGCATTGGGGATTGAACCTAGGGCCTTATGCATGCAAGGCAAATGTTTAACCACTAAGCTACTCCCTCATCCACTAAAATCTTGATTTTGCTATGCTCTTGTTCAAAGTTCCTTGTTGCATTCAAAATAAAATACCCAAATGTAGTACTGCTATTCAAAATAAATCAGGACCTATGACTACCATATCATCATTCTCTTCTTTGAATATCTTAAAAATTTATTTCCAGAAAAGGATGGACATAAATATTTCATACTGCAGATGTTTCCATATTGTTCTTCCTGGGATGCCCTCCAGTCCATCTGTCTGTCTCTCTCCTGTTTGTTGTTTGACTTTTTTTTAAGTGCTGGGAATTGAACCAAAGGCCTTGTGCATGCTAAGCACATGCTCTACAACTGAGCTATGGCCACAGTCCCTGGTTATTTTTTCTCTTGAGAGAAGAAATCTTTTCTGTTTGGGAGTTACCTCTGCCCTTGGAAAGCTAAGTGGAAACCAAGGAACAGCCTAGGCAGAAGGAGATATGGATGATAAATATTCACACCTGCCTCTAATCTAGACCTAAATACATTAGTGTCTCACAGTTTTGGCATTCTCTAGGCTGGGCTCATGGATATTGGAAAAGTATCCAATTCCCACCCCAACCATTGAGACAAGCAAAACCTTCCTCTTTTAATGAGATGAGAGGATGGCTATAAAGGCAAATGAATCAAACAATATAAAACTTAGCCAGTTTGGGGAGATAGTTTTAGTAACGAGGAATCTCATTACTGAAATTAGAATTTCTAGCCTAAGTTTCTATAACTGTGAACTATTTTATATATATATATATATATATATATATATATAAAACTTCATTTCTCTACCTAGACAGAATCTCTAAAATACCTTTTCCTCATTACAGCCTACCTTTGTAACATGTGCAGCATTTGCTGAAGTGGTTAAGAACTTCGTAGTATGCACTTGGGTAGTGGTAGGCTTTTTTACATAGCCTATATGCCAATGTATATAAAATTTCTAAGTTTATAAGTTCTAAGTAGAGGGTAAATATATATAAATTTCTTCTGCATGTAATTAGTGCCTATGGGTATAAAGCAGATAGTTTCTTTTCATTTCTTTATTTTTTTGGCAGTTCTTAGGTTTGAATTCAGGGCCTTGTGCTTGCTACATGCTATCTTGTGAGCCAAGTTCTCCCAGGCTTCTTTGCTTTTTTAGTGTTTTTAGATGGGATCATATACTTTTGCCCAGGCCAGCCTTGGATCTTGATCCTCCTTATCTCCACCTCCACAGTAGCTGGAATTACAGGTATGAACTATCATGCCTGGCTAAAGCAGATCATTTCTGTTTATTTCAGTCATAATTTCCAACCTGGAACTTACTACATAAGATTTGTAACATTGATGATGACCTCAATACTTTCATGTATGGGTTTGGAGGTCAGTTTCTCAGTCACAGTTGTTTGCATATTAGTTTCTTACCTGAAGCAGGCTGACTCTGTATATGTGCAATGTTCCCTGCAGTATGTGGGTGTTCTGACTCTTGGTAACCATGTGCCAGCTGGTGATGATTCACTGGTGCTCCACATGGGTGTGTGCTCTGCTGAGCAAGGGCTGGTTCAACAGAGATTGTACCTTGCACAGAAGATTGTATCTGCTAGACAAAGTTAAATAAAGTTATCACAGAGTTTTAACTATACAGGAAGCATAACTAAGACAACAGAAACATAAGGGGGAAAGAATATGTAATTCAGTGATAACTTTTGAATACCACAATACCTTCATCACATAAACCCATAAGAGATAATGATCTCTATTGTACAGATGAGAAAACTAAGATTTAGAAAGATTAAATAACTTGGCCATTATGTAGTTTATGAGGTAGAGTTAATCAAAGCCTATGATTTCAGTTATTAGTACACATAGATTTACAAGTATGTTATTAAGTGTGCTCATCATTTTCAAAAGGTTTCCTGGGATCCAATGAAAATAAAAACTGAACTTTTATAACAGATCAACACGTCAGTCCACTTCCTTTACCCCTTTGTCCTTACTAAATTACTCCCCTTACGAAAGACATAAGGGGAGAAATTTAAAATTGCATTATCATCATCATCATCCCATAAAACTAATTCACTATTTTCTTGCTTAAGTATTTATTAAATGAAAGTTGTGTCATAATTGTTAACATTTATTTAATCCATACCACGTGTGAGGCACTAGACCAAGTTTTTAATTGTCAAAACAATTTTATGAATTAGGTATAATTATCTCCACTTATGGTTTATAATAAGACTTAGAAATAATAGAAGAGATTTACCTAAACTCCCACAGCTATTCAGTGACAAGCTAAGTTATAGAACTAAAGTTACATACTAAGCTTTGAGTACAGAAAGCACATATATGGGTGAGATTCCCTTTCACCTCCTTCTAATAGGACTGGGACAAGTGAGTAGATAAGGCAAGTCTACAAATAACACCTACAGCAGCCTGAATAAAATGAATAACATTGGAAGGTTTATCCCAACTCCAAGCCCAAAGCTAGGAGTCTAATGTTCAGGGTTAAATCAGCAAACAATACTTTCTGAAATACACAAATAAGTGCATTCATTCATGAATATATAAATTAATGTGTACCCTCTTTCTCTTTGATCATTAATGGGCAATTTATTCCTCAGTTAGTGAAATTGAAAAAACTTTGGCTAAAATAGCTCGTAAATGTGGCATTCTACATGCTATGTATTGAGAATGCTTTCAGAGATCCTTCATATCTTGACATAATGTTTTGATTTCACTAATACCTATAAGATGGACCATTTATATCTTAAAAATAGCATCTCTTTGAGATTTCAGTCCTCCTTTCCAAGTTACAAACTCTAACACTTCTCTTTGGTATCCAAAACCCTTCCTATTTCATCCTTCAAGTATTTTAATCCCTTATAAACAGTTTCAACTGCCACATTTTCCTGAATACACTTGCTATGCCTTATTTGCCTCTCTTCATGAATGCTATTACTTCTGTCTAAAACAGTAAGTCTCAATGTACCAATCATTTACAACCCATTTTAATCAATACCTCCTCTGTGAAATCTGTTCCTCCTTCAGGCAGTGCATATTCCTTTTCTTTTTCTTTTTAAAAATTTATTTATTAGCATATTATAGTTGTACCATGGGTACATTGTGACATTTACAAAACTGCCTACAATATATCTTAGATTCACCCCCTCCATCTTTCTCCTTTATTCCCTTCTCAGAACAGTTTCAACAATTCTCATTTTCACATATGGATAGGTAGTACTTTCACCATATTTGCCTTCCTTCTCCCTTTTTTTAATGCCCTCTACCCTCCCACTGGTACAACCTCTGGACAGGACTTTCTTTTCTGTTCTTTTTTGGTAATAACTAGAGTTTGAACTTTAGTTCAACTACCACTTTAGCTACGCCAACACCATTCCTTCATCTTTAAAAAATGATTCATACAAATTATAGCACATATTATAATCTTTTAATTGTGATTAATTCCCGTTTCACAACTTAGAATTCTTTCAGGACTGTTATTTATTGTTGCATTTTCCTAACCTAGTTAGAGGTTATTATAGAAGTTTACTGTAATTCTACATTTGGGGTGTATACACAGTATAAAATGTTTATATGAGGATAACAACCTGAATTAGTGAAAATAAAATTACTTCTATTCTTTTCATGTGAACTACTAAACAAATATAGAAGTGCGATTGTTGGGAGTTATAAGCTTTATCTATAGAAACTCTAACTCCCATTCTCTTCCTAGCTTTTCTTGAGAAATTGTGCCTTACTGTGTGCATAAAACTATGCATATCCTACTATGTGTACCCTGAGGAGCACCAAAGTGGTTACTTATATTCAGATTCTCAACTGAAACTTCTACAATTTGCTCTATTTATCTGTTTGACTTACATAAGAGTTATATCTTATTAGAAAAATGAAGCCCAAGAGTTTCTCTGGTAAATATTTTTAGAAAGAAATCTTTGAAATCTTAATCAAGGAGCTGAAAACCATGACAACTTTGCAAATAAAATAGTAATTTTCATTCTCTGTTTCTTCAGACTTTCTTTTTTATGGTACTGGGGTTTGAACTCAGGGCCTCACACTTGCTAGGCAGGTAGGTGCTCTACCACTTGTGTCACCCTACCAGCCCTTCTTTTCTTTTCTTGTTTTGAGACAGGGTCTTGCTATTGTAGCTCCAGACTGGCCTTGACTCATGATGCTCCTCCCTCTACCTCCTAAGTGCTAGGATTTATACCACCATGCCCAGCCAAAACAACAACAACAGAAAAGGGTTTGAACTCAGTGCCTATACCTTGAGCCACTCCACCAGCCCTCTTTTTTTTTTTTTTTTTTTTTTGTGATGGGTTTTTTGAGATAGGTTCTTGTGAGCTATTTGCCTGGGCTGGCTTTGAACCAAGATCCTTCTGATCTCTACCTCTTGAGTAGCTAAGATTATAAGTGTGAGCCAGTGGTACCAAGCTAACAAAAAAGTTTTAAAGAAAGCTATATTACTACACCAGTGAGTATAACATCCATAGTATTTTAAATTCTAAGATAAAAGCTTACCTTTACATTCTCTTTAGGAGGCACATCATTCTGTTTTACTCCAGTAAATTTTGGAAACATTTCTGTAAATGCATATGGATAATTATTTCAACATTTGTCAGCTTAAAACACCAAAAAGTGATAATTTTTCCATTTTAGAAATGAAATGGTAATTTCACCAATTTCTTTTATCAAGAAGTATAGTCACAAGTTTTTTGCCCTATTTGAATTAGCCAAAGTTTCTAAAGGATACTGCTATTTTATGGGGTAAGATATTTTCTTTTCCCCATGGAACAAACACCCACTCACAAATTCCAACTTGGATTACATTCAAGCAAAAAACAAGTGTGTTACTCCACAGCCAAGGCTTTTAATAAGTGAATTTAAAAAGGAACAAGCTATCAAACAGAGATAATAAGATTTCAAATAAGCAGTACTGATTATACTTAAATAATCCTTTATTAAAAATAGCCATAGATATAGCTATAAAAGGCTTAAATAAAATAATTAAGAATTTACCATAAGAGAAAGGGTAAGTTGTTTATCTGAGAGTATGCCATCTTTTCTTGTAAGTGAAGCTATTTGATTTCTGTGGTAAGGTCTGTTCTGCTTGCTAAGCACTATACTGAAGATCCCATCTAATTAATACTTTCTTTACTTCCAAGATATTTGATTTTCAAGTAAATAGCAACAAATGGGTTTACAGAACTCCCTTTACCTTTAGAAACACCTGTATGGCTGACACTGGCAGTAGCAGTAGGTACAAAAAAGAGATCTCTCTGTCAGGGTATCAGTGGGGTCCCCCTTTGTTTATCTTACTGTTGATTCTGGGGCTACTCCTCCATCATAAGTCTAGGTCAGTGTGGTTAAGCACAAACTGCCTCCGTCCATCTGTCCAAGTCAGCTCTCATGAACCACCTGAGTGTTATTTGCTTCAGGCTCCAGGGCACCAAGGCTCATCAACACCAAATATTATTCAGACTTAAAACATTCTAATTTTAATAATTACCTTCTGCCTCCTGAAATGCCATCAGTTTCCATTGGATGTGTTCCTGCTCTTTCCTCTCCTAAAATGTTTGATGCTGGACATTGTTAAAATTGCTAAATGCCACTCAATGCTGTGCTTTAAAGAATTCAAGTATTTCAAATGACATGAGCCATCTTAATGTCACTCAGCTAAGTATTATTTAAGTGTTTGGAGGGAGATTGGGAGACAGAATAAAGAGGTGGCCTTGACACTTAAGGGAGAAATTAGTTTCAGCTTTGAACAAAAAGCAAAAAAAAGACAGATTTCATTAATATGATCATATAATACATACACATTTATACATCTATTTTAATTATTCAAACATGCACCTAAACTCAATATCCTATAATATAAACTCCTAAGTATAATAAAAATATGACATACTACATTTCTGTTCTGCTAAAAAATATTTAAGAGCATCACCTTAGTTTTCTGATATATAATACTGAAGCTTAGAGTTATATAAAAATTAGCACCTCAGAATCTGAAGGATACTAGCAAAAGGTATCAAACAATTTTAACTAAAAATATCAAAATCACCTAGTATATATATGTCTCATAAGTGTCAAATAGACTGTAGACAGATGAATGATGACAGCCTATAACTTAGCACTTTGTTTCTCATTCCAAACTTGCAGAATCACCTTCGAAAAGCATAATAAACATCTGTTTATTCATGAATTCCTGGCCTTTGGAATTCAAAGCATATACATGTTTTTGCCATTAAGCTTAAGATCATACCTCAATTAATACAGAAGCCCTTCCAGGTCTATCAAACATCAATTAAATTGAGAACAATTATGACAACATATACATTACCAACTAATTTCTCTGGGGACTGTGATTAACAGTCATACCTACCTTTAGAGGGCTGAACTGGGTAATGCACATAAACTGCTAATCAAATGCATATTACATATGTCATTATATATTCAAATTTCCTGTCTCCCAAGAAACTCAACACAAAACTTTGATTAAAAAGCTTTCATTTAAACTATATAAAAAAGTTAGCACTGGGAATTTTTTTTTAATGAGCTGGAATTTGGTTCAAAGGTTTAATACCCATCATCTATCACGGCTCTGAGACAGATGCTTCAGAGATACCAAATAATATCAGCAAGCCAATGTGGACTAAAATTCTGAAAAGATGAATAGGAATTTAGTGCCACAGTGCAAAAGCAGAATATGTCATATACAGTAGAAATAACTACTAAAGATTTTAAATTAGAAAAACAAATCATGCTTCAGTATAAAGGAAGGACAAGATATAAAAAAATGATTGGCAGGCATTACATGGTGACTGCTTCCTTATTTTATAGGAAAGAAAGCAGGTCCAGAGATGTTGAGTTGCCCAAGCTTATCACCCAAACTATGTCCTATTGACAAAAAGCAAGCAATTGGTTCTATACTGAAAAATTCATTTCTTTAAAGAATGTTTTGGCAATTTTCATTGAAGTTTTTGGTAGTTACTTTAATATCAAGAACAAACCAATTATAAACTATTTATTCATTTTTACTAAGGATCCTTCAACTAGTGAGAAAGTGGAAAGCAACAAACAACAAAAGTACCAAAACAAAATAACAAAATCCAGCCAGGGGTCCGGGGGGTTGAGGGGGTGGGCCAAACAATGTATACGTATGTGAGTAAATGTAATAATATAAAAATTTTAAAAACGGATCTTCAAACAAAAACTTGTACACAAATGTTTACAGTGGTACTGTCCATGCTAGCAGAAATGCCAGAAACAACTGAAATGCCTATCAATTAATAAAAGGAGAAAAAGAAAAAGAAACAGCTAAACAAACAAAACAAATCCTAGTCCAATGATTCTCAACCACGGTGGCACTTCAGAATTCCTAGGATACACCTAACACTATAGATACCTGGCTCCCCTTCCCATTCAGTTCAGATTCAGACTTGAAACTTTAGAGTTCTACAGTGACTCTAATGTGGTGCCACTGCTGAGAAGCACTATCTAGATGGTCTGTTTACTCAGGAACACCTAACGTGTGCACAAAATGGTGCAGAGATGACCCAAGGCTCAATATGGACCTCAATACATGGAAAGCTTTTTGCGAGTCCTGGGTCCTTCAATTTTTATTTTTCTAGTCTTTTGAATCACGATACTTTAATTGATGAGAAATGTAATCACATTCTTGTCACTTTTATAGAAGACCTCGGTTACATTACTAAAGAGACAAAATACCTTATTCCAACTTTCCAGTCACTGATAACAAAGAAAGGTTACAACAAAAGAAAGAAATGTTACTTTAAGAACTAATAAATTTCATTATCTGGCTTGGAGAAGTGGTTCACACTTGTAATCCGAGCTACTCAGGAGGCAGATACTGGGAGGATCATGGTTTGAGACCAGTCTGGGTATAAAGTTAACAAGACCCCATCTCAACCAACAAGCTAGGCATGGTGGTGTGCACATGTGGTCCCAGCCACTGGCTGGCTTACATAAGAGAATTTCAGTCAAAGGCTGGCTTGAGCAAAAATCCAAGACACTACCTGAAAAATAATTAAAGCAAAAAGGGCTAAAGGGGTAACTCAAGATGTAAAGTGTCTACCTAGCAATTGTGAGATTCTAAATTCAAACCCTAGTACAACAACAAATAAAACATTATCTGAATATTACACTAAAGTTAATAAAAGAAAAAAGGAAGAAATATTCTATCTCACAAGTATTACACTATATAGTTCCTGGAATTATTTCACATAAGGTTTCAATTAAAAGCACTACAATTGATGAGCTGCTCCATGTCAAAGGATTAAAGTAACTAATTTTATTGCTCTCAGTTTTATCATTCAAAGTAGCCCCAAGGTATTCAGCATTAAAAATCCCTTAATAGCTTATAGGTACATACTAGCACAACCTAGCCAATACAGGGTACATGCATTGGCATTAATTTTATTTTTCAACTTCACCTACATCTTTGATCTGACATTTAATGATATTTTGACGGCTATGAAAAATAATTTTAAAAGGTTTTATATTTATATCAATGTGTAATAAAAGTTCTTGACTTATCTGCACGACTATTTGCATATGTTGATGTCAGTCAAAAAAGATAATTTAAATGAGCAAATCAAATTACATTGAAATTTGCAATGAAATGCTGCTTCTAGTCCACAGATTCTCATTTTTGAAGGATTTGGGATTTCATTAATAACATCTACCTTGAAACAGATTTAATATCTTGCTTGAGATGAGAATTAAGTGAATTTCCCAGATTTTTAAATAAAACTTTCATTGGAAAGTCATGCTCTACTGTGTAATTACTCTTCCTTAACAAAGAAAAACATAATTCTAAATTTTTCAAGAGTGCATAAACTGAAGTTTGAAAATGATAGAAGGTAGTATTTAAGTAAAGTAGAATGAAAAGCTCTAACACTATTTACAACCCTTAAATGCTTGGATATAACCTTCAAAACATTTGCCACCTGTAAACAGAATGTATCATAGTAAAGAAAGATCAACTGACAATATAGCGTTACCATAAGAATAAGAAGACAATAATCTGAAGAAATGCAGAGTTCAGCTGTGCCTGACAACTAAAATTCAAAAAGGTTGTGACTTGGTTAAGAAAATTGCACAGAACAAAGTCATTATAAAAATTCAGGAAGACAAGTATTAAAAGGTAGATTAAGAAAAATTTTCATAGGATACTATCCTTCTACCAGAAGAGAATGTCACCAAAGCATTCAGAAAGTTTTTCTCTAAAATTTTACAGAAATGAAATTATATTCATATTTCCTATTTCCAATAAACAAAGAAAAACCTAGTAGCTATACAACTTTCAGAATCATGAAATTCAACTGTGGGTTTCAGTTCTGAACAAGTCATAATTAATTATAGCGCTATAAAATCTTACTGATATTTTGAGTTAATTTTTAGTACATGTTGTAGCAGATAAGATTTTTGCTCATATGCCCAACTTTTACAAACTATATATTCTCAGTAAATAACCCCATTTCCCCCAACCCTGAAACTTGACAAAGGATTTGTCAAATGTCCCTGGAAAATGTTATGTGCATAATTAAGAAATGTAGATGTTTTAATTATTTTTACTATAAGTATTGCATTGATGTGGCCTAATTTGCTTATTTTTCACAATTTATAATCCTTCTGTTTATAATTCTTATTGTTATTACCAGAGAAGCAAAAAATGTTGATAGCTTACTCACTAGAAATTAAGAGTCTTAAAGTATTTAATAAGTACAACTGAAGTTAATATTTAGCATAAAAGATCTTATTGCTTTATTTATGCCTATATTAAGCAAAGATATATTTTTCCATTAAATTAGCTTTTCCATTTGCAATTTACAATACACATAAACAGTGTTTTTAGAATAAAGTACATACATTGACTATTCATAAAACAATTAACATTTCAAAAACAAATGACAAGCTAAGCATGATGGTGCATGCTTGTAATCCCAGCCCTAGGGAGGACAAGGCAGGAAAATTGAGAGTGTGAGGCCAGCCTGAGTTACCTAGTGAGAACCTATCTCAAGATAAAGAAACAATTCATTTTATCAGGCTAGAAGGCAAAGTGACCATAGTGTCAGATTGCAACAGAAAAATTGGGGCTAAGAGTGTAGTCAGTGGTTAGAGTGCTTGCCTGTCATATGCAGGGCCCTGGGTTCAATTCCAGTACTCAGGAGACTGTGGGGGGCAGGGAGGAAATTTTACTACTTTAATTTTAGTAAGTATTTAAGCTTGGCATGATGGTGCATGTCTATATGCCAGCACTTAGGAGGCTGAGTCAAGAAGACAAAGTTCAAAGCTAGCCTGGGCTCTTCAGTGAGACCTTGTCTCAAAACAAAAATCATTTAAAAAGGGCTGAGAACATGGCACAAATGGCAGAGCACCTGTCTAGCAAGAGCAAGTTGAGTTCAAACCTCAGTACACACACACACACACACACACACACACACACACACACACTAATAAAGCATATTTTAAAACAACTCATTTTATTTGGGAAAGATAACATTAACCAAAAATATTAGTCCAAAAAAAACCTCAGGAGTGTTTTAGGATTAGAATTCTGTTGGAAAATTAGGGAAAAAAAATTGATACTGCACGATTTCAAGACCATATAATTCATGATAAACATTCTTCCCTTTGAGTAATTTGGTAGGATATTCTATTAGAAATGGATAATTCATGGTTAAAGTAAGGTACTTTATTGAAAAACTCTGCATATAGTTATTTTCCTCTAATAGTCAAGGCATTTGTTGAATTATTTGGTTGACTGGTTTTTTTGTGGGGCAGTCCTAGGGAATGACCTCAGCCTCCTACTTGTCAGGCAAGTACTACACAATTTGAGCCATGTCCCAGTCCTTATTGAATTATTTGAATTAAATAATTCAAACTAATAATTACCGTAAGAGTTTTATCCTACAAATAAAAGACAAAGTGCTCTAACTTATTAGGCCACAAATGCTTTATTAGATGAAAATACAATTACTAATTACAATTTAAAATACTAAATGCAACTTGAGATTTTTTTCCAGTAATGTTTTATGGTTAGAAGTTAAATATAAGGAAATACTATGTAATCAGAGCCCTGAATTAATTTTAAAATTTATTAGTATGACAAATTCCAATGAACGCAAAATTTGTGTTTATTCTTACAAAATTATTTACCACAATATACTTTAGAGCTGCAGAAACAAAATGCAGCTATCAGTACCACAGAAAAACAAATTAAATAGAACCAAGATGAAAACTGAATGTACTGCAAGCCAACGAACCCTACTAGACAGAAAGAAGAGGGATGTTCTTCCAAATGGTAAGAATTCCTGAAGTCAGAATGGGCTATGTGGTTATTTTTATTAAGAAAGAGAACTGAATTTTACAACAAGAAATATCTCATTTAACACAAAACAAATTATAGTCACAAAAGTGCCCAATATTCTGAATTTGCCTTTTGGCATTAACATACTGCCAAGTCAGCATTTTGGGGGTAGTGATTACTGCCAATTATATAACTGTCAAAGAAAAATGCAAAGAAAACATGAATGACTGAAGTTTGACAGGACTGATGAATTATACAAGAGAATATGGTACTTCCATCTATTTTTCTATAGATGAAAGATAATATTCTACAGGGCAGAAACTAATAAAGTGAAAAAATCCACTTTACAAATTCTGGGATGACTGGTTCCTTAATTCTTGTTCTATTCAGAAAGCAGAATCAAAACAGGACACACTTTGTAACATCAGAGTGAGAACACTGAAGCATGCCCTCAAATAATCTTTTTATTATCTAAAAAGAAGTGAAAATCAGTATTTTATTATCTGTTATTTTCTGGTTTTAAGATCTGATATAATTTACTTGCAGACTATCTCACTACGAGTAAACTGATTTTCAACATTACAAATCTACAAGTCACATATGTATAATATTTTACACAGTATATCAAATAGTAAAACTGTCTACATGCAATTAAATATGTATGGCATACAAACTACAGGTCGTGGGTAAGTAACAAATACTTCTCCAAAATGTTAAGTCTCAACATTACAAGAAAAAATGCTCCACCAACAGAGGTGCAGTAAGGGGACAGCTAACCTGGTTCAGAGTCGCTGCTGTCAGAAGAGCTTGAATCACTACTGCTGCTTTCAGACCCGGATGAGCTGCTGCTGCTGCTGCTGCTGCTGCTGCTGCTGCTGTCACTCAGGCGGGATCCGCTTCCAATGGCTTTGGATGGTTGTGCTTTCTCAGCTGCAAAGAGTGAAACGCATTAAAATGCCAACACAACGAAATACTCCCAGGAGTAGTTAAAACTGCCACCTACGTTTTGCTTGACGTTTTCTAGAGTTCAATTGATTGTTAACATCCAGTAAACGCTTTTCCAACTCCTGTTTTTTCTGTGCATGAAGTTCTTCTTTGGACTTTGTTGTTTTCTTAGCTATGATTTAGAAGTTTAAATAAAAGGTGAGAGTAACCAAAATTTAACACAAATGCCATACTAGACTTTCATTATTATACAGAAATACATACCATGAGGTTTTAGTGGTCTTTTTCTTAGACATGCCATAACATATTTTTCCAGTTCTCTTAGAGTCGATGCTTTCAGGGTTTCAAAGTCTATCTCTATCTCGTCAGGATTGGAATTTCTTAGTGAGGGTTCTCTAGATTGTATTATATGAACTACTCGCCCGAGTTTATCTCCAGGAAGTTTATTTATATCCAAGCTTAACTGCCTTTTCTCATCATAGTTCATAGGCTTCGCATTATCTTCATCTTCAGATTTCAGAGGAACCTGCTGTTTCCTCTTCTTTGGTTGGCTGTAACAAAAATTCCATTTAGTCAAATTTATTTTATTTCACTTATTTATTTACTTGAGATAAACAAGCTATATTCACAGCCGAATTTATTTTACACAATTCTTTTAATAAGCCACCATAAAAGATGCTTACTTGCTCTTAGGCATTTCCTTTTGTTTCATTTGCTGAAAATTTTTCCTTGGATTTACATCTCTGTTATTAACCTTTTCTCCTTTTTTAGGCCTTTTAGACTTCTCATTCTTTTTCTTTAGCTTATGGAAAGGTACTTGGGACAGAACCTGTAGCTGTTGATGAACAGCATTGAGCTGAGAAAGAAAAAGATTAAACATTCATGGCTCTAAATAATTAAAGACAGTAGAAAAAAATTAAAGCACCCCAAAGTCAAGAAAATTCTTTGTGAAATTCATTCAATATTATATTTCCTTCAGGCTTTAATTTCATTTCAGGAATTTATTGTTTTGAAGGGCATACAATAAACTGCACACAGTATCATATGCTCAACCTATAAATTTAAATATTCATCTAAAAGAAATACAGGAGGGCTGGGAACCTAGCTCAGCAGTAGAGTAGTTTTCTAGCTGTGCAAAGACCTTGGTTTGATTCCTACCACAATAAATAAATAAGCAAACAAAAATAAACATTACTGATATTTCCAGGTGATCTTAAGTTTTTTCCCTCCCCCATTAGTCTTAAATATTTTTAATCATTAACTTTTCAGACTTAAGATCAGAGAAGGTTAACATTTTATCACAAAAAGTACCAAATGGTAAGTAAGACCTCATCCATAAAATATCTCATACTATGTCATAAATAATTTCAAAAAGAATCAACTAATTGTGATTACAAGTGTAAATAGCAAAATTTATTTTTTTAAAAAATGTATTAATATGTAGATATTTGAGTAGGAAGGATAATTAAAAATGACAAATTAAGTAAATAAAGATGCTAGTGATCAAATCTATCAGCTTTAAATCTACAAGAAGGATTTTACAGTAAGTCAGCAGCTCATAGAATATCAAAACTTGTCAGTCAACCACCTGCTCCTGAAGCTTTGCAAGGCGCTGAACTCGTTCATCTTCAGAATCATCAGAAGAGTTGTCTTCAGAGGAAACCTCACTACTGCTTTCTCTGCCGTGGGTTTCTGGAGCATCCGTGGAGAGCTGACAGAAAGTTGTAGTCTCAACAGGTTCATCCGGGATCTTGGCAAAATGCATTTCAAAAACATCCTGAAATGGAAATTAGACTTTTAAGGTGTTCTGGCATTTCAGATTTAATGCAGCAGTAACACTGTTTAACTCAAGGAAGATTTCAGTGTCACATTTTGATCAGAATTCTTTAAGATACACTAGGAAAAATATAATAAGACCCATGCTTCTCTGCCTGCTAATCTCAGCAACTTTTCTCCATTTTGCAAGCAAGGTTGACCCCTCAAGGTATATAGGAGACCTTCTTTCAAAGGCACTGTGGTTGGTGCACCATTCTACCTTTAAGTGACTCAGACTCAGTCATTGCCCCTTCTTGTCAGTGGGACCTGGGCTGTAATTAACCTTATCTCAGAGATCTTCTGTGCCCTTTCATTAATATTTCCCAATTTCTTCTGTATGGTAGGTAGCTTCATTAAAATATTTGCTACTAAAGCATGTAATAACTTCAAAGACAAACACACTATAATCGCCATCAAAATACCAATGACATTCTTCACAGAAATGCTAAAATTCATATGCAAACACAAAAGACCCTGAATAGCCAAAGCAATCTTGAGTGTCAGAGGTATCACAATCCCTGACTATAGGACCATAGTAATAAAAACAGCATGGTGCTGGCACAAAAACAGATACATAGTCCAATAACAGAGAATGTAGTTAGAAAATCCAGGAATAAGCACACAGCTATAGCAATCTAATTCTTGACAAAGGTGTCAAAAACATACATTGGAAAAAAGACAGCTCCTTTAACAAGTGGTGCTGGGAAAAGTGGATATCCACATGCAACAGACTGGAATGAGGGTCCACACTCTCTCACTGTACATAAAAATCAACTCAAAATGGATTAAAAACCTTAATGTAAGACCTGAGCCTCTGAAACTACTAGAGGAAAACATAAAGGAAGCACTTTGAGAAGTAAGAAGAGGCAATAACTTTCTGAATAGGACTTCAATAGCTCAGGAAATAAGAGCAAGAATTGACAAACAAGATTGTATCAAATTTTAAAAAGTTTGCACAGCAAAAGCAATAATTATGAGAGTGCAAAGACACCTACAGAATGGGAGAAAATCTTATGGGAGATTAAAATCCAGAATATACAAAGAACTCAAAAAATTAAACACCAAAATAACAAATTACTCAAGGTATAATTGGGCAAATGAACTAAGTAGACATTTCTCAAAAAAAGTACAAATGGCCAATAAACATATGAAAAAAATGTTCAATATCCTTAGCCATCAGAGAAATGCAAATCAAAACTATACTGCCTTTCTGTCTCACCCCAGTCCAAATGGCTATCATCAAGAAAACAAATGCTGGCAAGGATGGGGTTGGGAAGCAACTGTTATTCATTGCTGATGGGAATGAAACTTAGTGCAGCTACTACAGAACTCAGTCTGGAATTTCCTCAAAAACTAAAAATAGAACTCCTATATGATCTGGCTATACTACTTCTGGGTACATACCAAAAAGACTCAAAGTCAGCTTACTGTAGATAGATATACCTGTACACCCATGTTTACTCCAGCACTATTTACAAGTCAAATTATAGAATCAGCCCAGGTGCCCATCAACAGATGAATGCATAAAGAAAAATGTACATATACACAATGGAGTTTTACTCAGCCATTAGGAAGAATGGAAACTATGTTGTTTTCTGGAAAATGGATAGAACTGGACATCATCCTGTTAAGTGAAATAAACCAGTTCCATAAAGACAAGTATCACATGTTTTCTCTCATTTGTGGAAGCTACGGGGAAACAAAACAAACAAAACAAAAACAATGTCACGAAAGTAAAAGGGAGACTGCTAGGGAGGTGGAAGGGGCAGGAAAAGGGGGAGGGACGAGGGATAAGAAAGAGACATAAAGGAGGTGAATATGATCAAAGCACATTATATGCATGTATGGAAATGTCATGATGAAACCCTTCAATGTACAATTTAATATATGCTAAAAACAAACCCTCACAGTTTAAAAAGTATAATTTATACATTGTTTTATACTACTTAGGGGTGTACTATTGTTTATTTCTTGAATTATGGATCTAAAATATTAAAATTACATTCAGAGGAAAAACACTTTCAGAGCACAAATGAAATCCACCTGAAGTGTTCGAGCCATTGTCACTACTTCATGATCTGGAGGGTTGCATCTGTAGCAATTCATGAACATTAATCTAACATCGGCAGCAAATTCATATGCATCCTTATACTCTTGGTTGTCCATTTTCCCCTAAATTAAGGAAAAGTTACAGTATTCACAAACAATAAAGTTCAATTCAATAACAGTACCTACTGGAAGTTCAGTAATATAATAATTCAGACATACAGGAGAACACAGAAAATCAAGTTACCCATCATCCATTTTGACCAATGCTAAAATTCATAAATTCATTTAAGGATTTCATACTTTTTAGATTAAAAATGTCTTTTTTTTTATGGGACTGGGGTTTGAACTCAGGACTTCAGGCTTGCAAAGCAGGCTCTCTACTGCTTGAGCCACACTTCTAGTCCATTTTGTTCTGATTATTTTGGAGATAGGGTCTCAAAAACTACTTGCCCAGGCTGACCTTGAACAGTGATCCTCCTGAGGTCAGCCTCCTGAGTAGCTAGGATTACAGGCTTGAGCCACCAGCACCCAGCTGAAATTTTGACGGAGATAAGGAAGGAGGGCATTCCAAGTGAAAAAAAGGACAGGAATAAAATCACATAGGTGGGGAAACACAATGTTTTTATATAATCTTGGGTTGACAAGTACAATAGTAAGAAAGTTATAATAAAGAAAAAAGTTATAAAGTCACATTAAACTGATTTTGAACATCTGAATGAGTTATATTAAAATTTCCCAGAAAATGCTTATCAAAACTAAATTGAGATTCCATTGCACCTCAATGAAAAAGGCAATAATCAAGAAAACAAACAACAACAAAAGCTGGTGAAGATGAGGGGGGGGAAAAAGGAAATCAACCTACTTTTGGTGGGTAAATTAGTGCAGCCACTATAGAAATCAGTAGAGAGGCTCCTCAATAAACTAAAAATACAACTGGCAAATGCCCCTGCTATACAACTCCTGGGTATATACCCAAAGGAATCAAAGTTGATACTACAGAGATACCTGCACACTCATATTTATCACAGCACCATTCACAATAGCCAAGTCATGGAATCAATCCAAGTACCCATCAGTAGCGTACAGATAGAGGAAATGTGTTCTATATACTCAACGAAGTAATTATTTGGTCATAAAGAAGAATGAAATTCTGTCATTTGCAGGAAAATGGATGGAAGTGGTGATCATCATGTTAGTCAAAATAAGTCATTCTCAGAAAGGTGAACATTACTTATTTTCTCTGTATGTAGAACCTAGAGTTTTTTTTTTTTTAAGTAAAAGAACAATTTGGGAGGGAGGAACAGTGGGAAAATGAAGTAGGACAAGAGAGGGGGGTAGGGGGAGGTAAATATGATCAAAGTACAGAGTATACAAGTATAAAAATTCACAATCAAACCATTATGTTGTATAATTAATAAAATAAATGTAAATGAAAGTCTGAGAATGAAAAGATGTTAAATAGAAAAATAACATGAGCATGAGTTACATGTTTAGGTAGCTGCACATGAGATGTACAGAAGAATGTGATATACAATAGCTAATTGGACAGCCATTACAAAAAGAAAAACTAGCAAGAAAATCCTATAGACCACTGCCTAAAATATTAATGGGCAATCCACTAACCCACCAATAAACAAAGGCAACGCATTATACTTCATTGGTAATTTAAAAATCCAAGTTTGGGCATGGTGGAACCTACCTATAGTCCCAACACTCAGGACACTTGAGGCAGGAAAACTGCAAGTTCCAGGCCAGCCAGGGGTACATAGTAAAAATTGTCTCAAAAAAAGCAAAACTAAAACAATAAGAAAATTAAAACTAAAACAGGAAACAATTTCCTGCAAACCAGATCACTGGCAAGTATGAATGACATCAGAGAACTAAAGTCAACATATTGGAATCCTATACTAATCTCCTAACCAGTGTGTTCACTCCTGCTACAGAACACACTATAAAAATCAAATACAAAGACATTATTCTCATGGTTTGGCTTCTTTAAAGGTTCTTTTTATAAAGACCCATATTTCCTTCCAGTCTCATTTCCTCAGTTTTCCTTCATATTCTCCATATTTCAAGGTGGCACAAAATATTCTTTCAATGTTTTTTTCACCTCATGGACAGTACACAAGTTGTTTCTCTTGCCTGAAATACCCAATAACTTACTAAATTACAGCCTACAACTTACTAATTTCTTATCTATTCTTTAAGATTTGCCTAAGGTTTATCTATTTCAGATGATTTTTCATGACCTCTGAGTTGGAGTTGGTACATAGGGAAAAAATAGGATAAAACTATTTTGAAAGGTAATGGATAAAAACTTATTTTCAGAACTATGAAACAAGTGTTCATATTGAAAGTGCTGAATTCCATTCAGGATGAATAAAATCAAATGTACAGTTGTAACAGGAACAGACACCTAACTATAGATTTATAGACCAATAACAAACTCATTTTAGTTATGCAAGTTCTAAAAAGTTTTAAACAGACATGTTTTTTCTTCTTTCTTTGTTTTATCTTCCTCTTCCCATTCCCTCATGAAAGGAAACTCAAGAAAGTCTTTACAGATCTAGGCAAGGTCATCAGGCTCCTTTCTCACCTTGCTGATCCAGGAATGAGGAAATGTTCAGGACAGCAAGGGATATAGAGACTAATGAATGCCAGTACATGGGGAACTAGGCAGAGCCAAGGCCACCACTTAGCCCAAAATCATGCCTCAGCAAGTACATCCAAAAGCCCACACTCCTGGGCTTTCCTTTCCCCAACCCCCAGGAATAGGACTATAGGTTTTGAGACAGCAGCTCATGCAGTCCTTGTTTTGCCTGACAAAATTAATAAATCTTTACTTTCTTTTCTTACAAAACCTTGCTCTCGTTATTTGTGAAATGACATTGAGTTCTGGGACCAAATTTCCCATATCGAGCTTGATGCTCAGTGTGAGGCCTGGAAAAAGTCCTCACCCGGAACCCCGCACACTGTGGGAAAATGGAGGTTTGTAGGAAGTCCTCCCCAGGTTGAGTTCTGAAATAGCCCTAGTTAAGGTGTTGGCATGTGAGAAGATGGGGAGACAAAGGGACGGACAATCCCAGCAGCTACTGGAGTTAGATTTAGCTCTGGGGAACTCCTGTTTTCTCCCCTGTGGATCACAGATGCAGGATTCCTGCTGCTGAAACAACTTTGGAAAAAGGGAAAAATGATCTGGAAAAAAAAAAAAAAAAAGCACAACACCTTAGCCAAGCTTGGGTGAGTCCTCTGGTGTGCACAACAATACCCTTTGATTCCACCAATTTAGGGAGGTCCCTTTGTGTATCCTCTGGCCTGTAGGGGGCATTTTTTTGTGGTACTGTTTGGGGTAGAAGTCACAGGGAATTCATTCCCATCCATTGACTTCATCATTTGGTGGAGTGTTCCCATTTGTTGGCTTTCATTTAGGGGAATTCACTTTTATTTGTCTGGGTGTTTTGTGTCTGTGTGTTGTGTTTATTATGGAAGGCGCCATGTGTGTTTCATCGGAAAGCCCTTTGGGACAAATCTTAACCCGAGTGGCCCACCTATAGTTATAAGCCTATGACAAAAAAAAAAAAAGATGAGATTTTATTACAACATGGCCTGGCCTATGTGTATTTTTTGAAAAATGAGGATAGTTTTTGAATAAAACTTTAAATTATTACACAACCTTATAATTGGAGTCATTTTGTTACATATGCAATTGCATTTAAGCAGTGCAGTTGCACAACAAGATGTCTGAACAGCCAGCAGCTAAGTTGATGGTACAAAAAAAGGTCAAAGCCTCTGGTGAGTGAAGATAGCCATGTCCAAGAAAAAAGGTCAAAGAAAACCTAATTAATTTGAGTATAATGAATTCCTGTAGCACGGGGTTATGCTGAAGATATGACTACCCTGCCCTTCTCCTCTGACTACCTGGGAAGTTGCTAGCCTGTTTTCTACCTGAGAGTGAGGAGAACAGAGATGCTTAATGCAACTGACCCGGGACCCTTCTGGTTATGACCCAAGCACAGGAATGGCCTTCCCTTCTAAGACCAAACAGGATACATTATTTGGTCAGGGGACCAGTATTGCCTGGAGCAGGGCAATTTCCTTTCAGGCAGATAGCTGGGCACTGTTGTGCCTATAATCCTTTTCAACCTCAGACTTATTAAATTAAAAATAATTCAAACCCTACCTACAGGTAGGATCGTCAGAAAAATACTGAACTATTTATCATTTTTGCTAACCACTGCCCTACCTGGGCAGATGTGCAAACTCTGTTAAATATCTTGCTCAAGGCCAATGACACCGACTTATGAACAAGACCAAAAAATGAGTTACAGTGCCTTTATGATGAGAATCCTAACCAGGTTACCCATACCTGACGAGGCCATATCAAAGGTGGAAGCAGTCTGGGACCCTTATACAAAGGCAGACAATGCCAGGATTAATCATTATTGCAGGTGCATCTTTGCAGGACTCCTCAGAGGAGTGACCAAGCAGAGGAGCCTAAATAGGAGCCAAAAATTGCAACAAAAGGCTAATGAGGACTCCTCTGAGTTTTTAGAACAGTTTACCAGACTTGCCAGAAAATAGCCAGAGACCCCTGCAAACCTATGTATGGTTAACATGACTTTTATTGGACAAAGTTGCCTCTGCCATCAGAATGAAATTACAAGGGGTAGAAAGTGGCATGAATCCCTCACAACTTGTTGACATTGCTTACAAGTTTTATAATGCTAGGGAGGAACAGAAATTAAAACCATTTTGTGTCCTTTATGTAGCCCGTGGGGGCTGGAAATGACAAGGACCCAAGTTGGGGAAAATCCAATGTGCCAATTGCAAAGAAAAAAAAAAAACAAACCACTGTAAAAAGCAGTACCCAAAGCTACAAAAGAACAGAAAACAAAAACAAATGAATTTCAGAGGTCTGATTACCTCTAGGGCCAGAGATTCAGATAATAAGTGAGGGGGGCCCAGGGCTTCAAACCATTCTGGAAGCTCCCAACAAAATATCCCTCACTGAAGCCCTGGGTATAACTGACAGTAGGGACGTAAGTAATTGACCTCCCAGTGTATAATGAAGTGAGTTACTCAGTTCTGAATTCTAAATTAATGTCATTGAGCAATACCACATTGCTGGGGTGGTGCCTCTGGCTTCTAGAGTGGAAATTGGGAGAAGAAAGTCTGAGACATTACTTTCTGCACATGCCAGATTGTCCCACTCCTCTCTTGGGACAAAATTTGCTGTGCAAATTAAATGCTTTTCACCTGAAAAGCAACAGCTTCAATTACAGGTACCTCCTGAGAATGGACTCCGCCTTCAATTTCTACTTGCAGAGAGAGAAGCTGAGGCAGATTTAATACCTCCCTCCATGTCTATGTAAAAGTAAAGCTGTATGGGCTGATGGGAGTCTGTGGGTGGGTCATTTCAGTGGCCCCCATTAAAGTGCTATTTAAAAAGGGGCTAAAAAGAAAAAAATACCTTTTTTTAAAAAGAGGCCTTAAAACAATCCTAAATAGATTGTTTAAACATGGACTTATTTGGCCTTGTCAGTTTCCCTACAATATACCAACATAACCAGGTAAAAATCCCCTCACTGAAAAATACAGGTTTATTCAGGTTTTGAGGGCCATAAATAAGGTGGTAGTAGTTCAGGATGTCTACCCAGCCGTGCCTAACCCATACATACTTTTAACTATTGTGCCAGGGGACCCATGGATGGTTTTCAATGTTGACTTTAAAATACACTTTCTTTTACATCCCTTTGGGGGAAAAATATCTTTTTTTTTTCTTGTGGGCCTGGGGTTTGATCTCAGGGCTTTGCACTCGCAAAGCACGTGCTCTATACCTCTTGAGTCACACCTCCAGTTCGTTTTGCTCTGGTTATTCTGGAGGTGGGGGTCTTGTGAACTGACCTTGAATGTTGATCTTCTCCATCTCAGTCTCTCAAGTAGCTATAATTAAAGGCACGAGCCACCTGTGCCTCGAGGGTGGGGGATGGGGGGTCGGAATCTTAATCACTATTTACATTAATGGCAAGATCCTGATCGTCAGGTAACTACATAATCTTGTTGGACTGTCTTGTCATAAGGATTTAAAAACTTACCTATCCTTTTTAATAAAAGCCTAACAAGAGACTTACTAAATTTACACTTAAACCAAGTAGTCTTGTTACAATATGTTGATGACTTCTGCTGGCCAGTCCTGATCCTCAACACTACTGCCTTGCCAACATCATTACAGTGCTGAACCATCTTGTCCGATGCAGGTACAAGGTGTCACCTAAAAAGGCCCAGATTTGCAAGCCACAGGTTTTCAGATATACCAGGGAAGCTGCAGTCTCATGAAAAACTGGAGACATGACATTTTTAACTTACATGTCCCAAGGGACAAGAGACAAATGTACTGGTTCTTGAGGATGGCAGGGTTTTGCCACGTTTGGATCCCAAACTTTGGGCTAACAGCAAAGCCTTTGTATGAAACCCTGAACGGAACTGATGTTCAACAATTGGTTTGGACAGGAAAATTCCAGAAGGCTTTTGAAATCCTAAAACAAAGCCTCATGATGGCACCCCTGGGACTGCTTGATATACAAAAAGAGTTTAAATTCTATGTACATGAAATGCAGGGTCTGGCTCTCACAGTCCTCCTGAGAAGTTAGAGGACTCGGCTAAAACATACAGGGCTTTAAGTTGCAAAATATTTTTACACAGAGACTCATTTATGTTTTTTTGGGGAAATGCCCTTTCAGAATTTGCAGTACTTTGTCAAATTACTCCACACCTCTGAGCAATGGACAGCCTAAGAAATTTTTCTACCCATACCCAATGTCTGTTATCTATTCTCCATTCATTTTTCTAGATGGATCATTTCACTAGGCAAGCTCTTTGAAGCTTTTTGCTAGAGTGACCCGTGATTTATCAGGAAAGATAGCGGATAGGTTCTGGTATCATATTGGCTATTCTCTTTTTCCGTGGTGGGGTGTGTGCCCACCAATGGGTTCTTTGAAATCTATCGCAAATCCTGATTATAGCAGCTAATGAAACGACTTTATCCCTTTCCAATCTTTAACACTCCTTGGACTCCTTTACAAAATTGGTGTTGGATAATCAAATGGCTCTAGACTACGTGCTTATGTGCTCTTATTGCCAATTGTCCTGTTGTACCCATATCAATACTTCCTCTCAGGTAGAAGAGTTAATATACCAAAGATTAGACAATAAGCAACTTTGTTACAACAAGCATGAGAGCAACACAGGCCATTTTAGACGGCCTGGGCACCAAGTTGACAGACTGATTTCAAATTTGTTTTGCTACCTGCCTAATGGTGTCAAATCTATTCTATTAGGTGTCTTCAATTTTGGTGTGACCATCGTGTTGTTGATTGGATTCATATACCTACTCTTCTGCTTATCACTTTGCTGTACACCCTCCCTGTGAAAAACCACTGTTGGGAACTTTAAGACCCACCAGGATGACTGGTAAAGACAGGTGCATGCCTTACATTAAAAAAAATCTCTGGGTGGGAGCATAGTGTAAGTGATAGAATGCCTTGCCTAGCAAGACCAGGCCCTGAATTCAAACCCCATTGCCACCAAAATACAGATAAATTAAAAAGTTTAAAAGCACACTAGATTGCACAAATATTTTGCTGAGGTGTGGCTCAAAAGGTAGGATGCCTGCCATGCAGGTGGCAAGATCCCGTGTTCAACTCTCAGTACTGCTCTTCTCCACAAAATCCCCTAACATTACCCAACCTCAACAGAAAGCAACTATATGATTATCATGCCCCTTTTTCTATAAAAATTTTTAATGAACAATGGGAAAATGTAACAGGAACAGACACCTAACTATAGATTTATAGCCCAATAACAAACTCACTTTACTCACTTTCAGTTGTGCAAATTCTAAAAAGTTTTAAACAGACATGTTTTTTTCTTTATCTTATCTTCCTCTTCCCATTCCCTCATGAAAGGAAACTCAAGAAAGTCTTTATAGATCTAGGCAAGGTCATCAGGTTCCTTTCTCATCTTGCTGACCCAGGAATGAGGAAATGTTCAGGACAGCAAGGGATATAGAGACTAATACAAGTACACGGGGAACTAAGCAGAGCCAAGGCCACCACTTAGCCCAAAATCATGCCTCAGCAAGTACATCCAAAAGCCCACACTCCTGGGCTTTCCTTTAAAACCCATCTTTCCCCCAACCCCCAGGAATAGGACTATAGGTTTTGAGACAGCAGCTCATGCAGTCCTTGTTTTGCCTGACAAAATTAATAAATCTTTACTTTCTTTTCTTACAAAACCTTGCTCTCGTTATTTGTGAAATGACATTGAGTTCTGGGACCAAATTTCCAGTGTCATAGCTAGAGACAAGATAGATCATTTATAAAGAATGCCAAGTAGACTGACAGCCGACACCTTATCAGCAACAGATGTCAAAAAATGTCTTCATATGCTGAGAAACAATAGTGGTCATGTAAGAGTTCTATAGTCAACTAAAGAATAATTCAAGAATAAGGACAAATATACTTCTAGACATAAGCTATCATGAATTTACTACCTATGAACTCTCATGGAAGAACAACTACTTTTGCATTTCAACAAAAAGAACAAACCCAGAGGGTAAGAACAGGATACAAGAAATGAGGGTGAGTACAAAATTTAGTAACATGTTAATTAACTTTACTTTGCCGATGAAAAAAATGAAACAAAATGGTGCTTAAAACCAAACCAAAGCCAGGCACAGTGGTAGCCTGGACTACATACTGAGACTTTATCTCAAAAAATTTAAAAAGTGAAGAACCAAATATCTAGACAATAATAAAGAATAGGAAGTTCAGTGGGTAGTCATTTAGGATTGAGATACTGAATAATTCTGAAGATGCTACTGTTCTATTCTTTTAAGTAGTTGCCCTTCCAAAAAAGAGAAAAGAACTAGAATTATGTAATCAGCAAAAATATTCTTAAAGAACAGTAACGAGAAAATGTTATAATACAGTAAAGTACAATGACCCAAATATTGTAATGAAGAACAATGGAGTGCTTTCATGAAAATGAAAAGATATATTTAAAAATGTCCCAATGATTCACTTCAGGTGATAAGAGTCTGGTGATTTAATTTTCTTCAAAATATTCTAGTTTTTAAATTTTTTTTTGCAATGAGGAATTGCTTTTATAATAAAGAAGTTCCTCCTATTAAGGCAACAATTACCTTGATAGTTCCAAGATCCATTGGGTTTTTGACAATGTCACAGTAGTTATGGAGTCCCAAAGCATTAGCATCAATAGGATTATAAAAGGGCCATGCATATGATAAATGTTTCTTTGCAAGCATTTCTTTAAGAATCTCGCTACAGTGCTTTAATTGTTCAGTTATTTTAACATTCTTTACAACTTTATATTGTTGTTGAGAATCCAGCAAAACATTCTTCAGCATGCTTTCTTTTATTGGAGGTGTTCTTGCTGATTTATTTTCTATAAGTGTCGGAAAAGATTCAGTACTTGCTTTAGCTATAGAAGTTGTAGGAGTAGTTGTGTCTGCTTTTCTCTTCACACCCCTTGAAACCTAAAATAAAACAATTCAACAACAAAAAACTATACTTAAGGAGATATTCATCAGCTAAAAAAGGGGAACAATTACTGAATACCAAGTTTTTATATAAGTTACACATACTATTATCAATCCATATATTATTATTATGTATTAGTAAAAGTTACTTCTCTTTTATAGGCAAAATAAATAGTTCTAATATTTCCTTCCCCCCATCCTGGTGAACTGTAAAACAAAAGGCCTGTCAAGGAGGTATCTTTTCTCTTAAGGAAGAGGAAATACAATTTAAAAAGAAAACTATGTATGTTGGGCATGCTTTTCTTTTTAAATTATAAGCCACTATTATCAATCTGTGTATTATGTATTAGTAAAGGTTATTTCTCTTTTATAAGCAAAAATAAATAGTTCTAATATTTTTTTCCCACATCCCAAATAATTACCTTGATACAAAACCTAAAGACAAATGAGAGAGAAAATCAAATTCGTGGTTGTTAACAAAAATGTTTCTGAATACTTGAAATCTGGTAGATTATATATATAAATATGTATGTGTATATATATATATAATAATGCATACACATATATATAAATAATGTACATATACATATACATACACACACATATATATATCCTCTTGTTCAGGCAGGAGGATTGTTAAGTTTAAGGCCAGCCCCAGGCTAGTTAATGAGACCCTATCTCAAAAAGAAGAAAACAAAAAACTATGTAAGTGGACAACTTTTAATATTAATGACATTAAGATACTAGAACAGTTCAAATTCTATGTAAGAAACCTCCAAAATTGGGTTAGTTTTCTAGGTCTCTGTCCAAAAAATGTATAGAGAGGCAGAAATAGTATGACTTAAGATTGCTATAGGCTATAAAGCAATTTTCATATAAGCTTTGAAAAAATATAAACATGACAACATGCAAAGATACACTGCACTATTTCAGGAAGCGATGATTTAAGAACTACAATGAACTTACTTGGACCACAGCTTGTGAGCCAGCGTCAGGTGGAGCTTCATGCACCATGTTTAAAGGAGGGACAGATGCCTCTAGAAATCCAGAGGGAATCTCTTGCTGCTTAAATACTTTTTCTGTTGCTCTGGGGGATGGTTTTTCTTTACCACAAGAAACTGGTACATTCTGAATGTCTAGTGAAGTGTAAATCAGAGTCAAATGTTTGAGTAAGTATAAAACACTGTTTTTACTCTTAGTAGTCTATTTTAATTCATTTAATTCAGCTTTTTAGCAAGACAAGCATAATACACTCCCCCAATCTTTTAAATTCTCCCACACATACTATTGCTGACAATTTGATCATAATCCCCCCAAAACACAATTCCAAATACCATAATCCCAAATGCTGAAATTCTGAAATCAATTATCTCTAAAGTCTAAAAAATCCCAAAAGGCCAACATTTCCAAAATATAACTCTGGAAAAAATAATTTTGTGCTTGACTGGATTTGAAAAAAAACAAACCACATTACTTCCCTCTCTCCATCCTGATGAACTACAAAACAAAAGGCTTGGGGAGAAGGGGTCTCCTCCACTTCAGCAAGGAGGAAATGTTTATTTTTTCCCTTTGGTTGTTTTGTTTGTATTATTTGTATTATTGTGTTGTCCCTCACTATTTTTTCTTTTTTGTTTATTCCTTTCCCCATACCCTTTTTTGTTGCTTTATTAATAATATCTTTACTTCTATTAATATTTAGCTTCCGAGTTTATATTTGTTCCTTTCTTTTTCTATTGTTATTGGGGGTATCAGTTTCTGTAATTGTTTGTATAGTATTTACATATCTGGTTTGTTTTGGTGTTGATGCCATTACTGCAATTTTCTTTCTTCCCCCTGAGTCATACTGGGCTCAACTGAGCTTTTTAAGAGAAGACTCTTAACTAGGAAAACCCTCATATTAATAGTATAAGACATATTATTCCCACACAAATCCAATGTAGAAACATAAGAAATATGAAAAAGCAAGGAAAATAACTCTGCCAAAAGTTCAGAACTCTTCAATAACTGAACCAAAATTTGTCAAAACAGATGAAATACTGGACAAAGAATTTAAAAGTCTAATTTAAAAAATGATGAATGATTCAAACAGTACAGAAAAAAATAGCCAAATGAAGTAAGGAAGATAATACTGAATTTAGACAAAAAATTGAGCAAAGAGATTCTGGTAGAAAATGGAAGTAAAAAGCTCAATAAATCAAATAAAAACTGTAGAAAACATCAACACTATACTAGATCAAATAGAAGAAAGGTTATCAGAAATTGAAAACAAGATTGATGAATTATTATATGTAGCTAGCAATAAAAATGTAATCAGACCTCTGGGACATAATTAAAACTTATGAAGATTTGGCATCAAAGATGGTACAGATATGCAGACTAAAGGCATAGAAAACCTATTCAGTGAAATAATACTAGAAACTTTCCTAAATGTAGGTAAAGAATTAGACATCTAAGTACAAGAGGCATTGAAACCCAAAACAGATATGACCATATTATATTATAGTTAAAATGCCAAGAATACAGAACAATGAACACATACTGAAATAGAGAAGCACTAACTTATTATAAGGGCAAACCCATCATGATAACAGTAGGCTTCTCAGAAGAAACCCTAAAGGCCAGGAGAGCATGGAATGATGTATTTCAAGCCCTGACACAAAATAATCCTAAGAAGTCAAAGGATAAAGACCTTATAAGATGAGCATAAAAGCAACTCATGACCACCAAGCCAGCACTGCAGAAGATACTTAAAGGAATGCTACACAGAAGAGGAAGAAAGAAATACACAATTACAAACCTTGAGAAAGAATAAATCTCACTAGAGGAATAGATAAACAAATAAGAATTAGAAAAGAATCAAAAATGTTAATTTAGTAAACCAGTATGATGAATAGGGAGAAAGAAAACAATCAAAAGGAAAAAAAACCCATCATCAAAAACCTAGGAATTAGTACATACCTCTCATAACCATTAATGTAAATGGTCTTATCTCTCCAATTAAAAGATACAGAGTGACTGAGTAAATTAAAAACAAGCTCAAATTTGTTTGCAAGAAACTCATCTTGCTATCAAAGACACAGACTGAAAGTGAAAGGGTGGAAAATGTTATTCTAAGCAAATGGATGTAAAATAAGCAGCAATAACTATATTCATATCTGACAAAGCAGACTCCAATCCAAGATCAGTCAGAAGAGATAAAGTCACTACATATTAAAAGGGAAATCATCCATCAATAAATTATAATGGGGCTGGAGGTATGGTTCAAGCAATAGAGTGCATGTCTACCAAAGGGGGAAGTCCTGAGTTCAAATTCCAGTACTGTCAAAACCAAACAAAAACAACAATGACAACAACAAAAAGCCAAACCCAAATTAGTAAAAGGAAATAAATAACAAAGAATGAGATGAAATTAATGAAATGGAGACTGAAAGAACTATACAGATGCTGGGTATGCCGGCACATTCTTGTAATCTTAGAACCCGAGGTTGAGGCAGGAGGATTGGGAATTCAAGTTCAGTTTGGGCTACATAGTGAGACCCATCTCAAAAAACAAAACCAAACCAAAGAATAAACAAAAAGAGTTGGTTCTTTGAAAAAATAAACAAGCTGGGACCAGGTGACTCACACCTGTAATCCTAGCTACTTAGGAAGCTGAAACTGGGAGGATGGAAGTTTGAGCCTATTGCCTAGGCAAATAGTTTGAGGCCCCATTTCCAAAATAACCGGAGCAAAATGGGCTGGATGTGTGGCCCAAGTGGCACAGAGCACCTGCTTTGCAAGTGTGAAGCCCTGAATTCAAACTCCAGTCCCACCAAAAAAAATATAAAAAACAAAACAACAAGCAAACAACATCCAAAAAACCCAAAGAAACAAATTGATAAACCTTTAGCCAAACCAGACGAGAAAAGACTCAATTTAATAATATTAGATATTAACAAGAAAGAGTAGGAAATACTCTGGAGTTAGTAGGTATAGGTAAGAACTTTCTCAATGAAACCCCAGCAGCACAGCAACTAAGAGATAGCATAGATAAATGGGACCTCATAAAACTAAAAAGCTTCTGCTCAGCAAAAGAAATGGTCTCTAAACTGAAGAGAACACCCACAGAGTGGGAGAAAATATTTGCCAGCTATACATCAGACAAAGGACTGATAACCAGAATATACAGGGAACTTAAAAAACTAAATTCTCCCAAAACTAATGAACCAATAAAGAAATGGGCACGTGAACTAAACAGAACTTTCTCAAAAGAAGAAATTCAAATGGCCAGAGAAAACACATGAAAAAATGCTCACCATCTCTAGCAATAAAGGAAATGCAAATTAAAACCACGCTAAGATTCCACATCACCCCTGTTAGAATAGCCATCATCAGCAACACCACCAACAACAGGTGTTGGCGAGGATGCGGGGAAAAAGGAACCCTCTTACACTGTTGGTGGGAATGTAGACTAGTACAACCACTCTGGAAAAAAATTTGGAGGCTACTTAAAAAGCTGGATATCGATCTACCATTTGATCCAGCAATACCACTCTTGGGGATATACCCAAAAGACTGTGACACAGGTTACTCCAGAGGCACCTGCACACCCATGTTTATTGCGGCACTATTCACAATAGCCAAGTTATGGAAACAGCCAAGATGCCCCACCACTGACGAATGGATTAAGAAAATGTGGTATCTATACACAATGGAATTTTATGCAGCCATGAAGAAGAACGAAATGTTATCATTCGCTGGTAAATGGATGGAATTGGAGAACATCATTCTGAGTGAGGTTAGCCTGGCCCAAAAGACCAAAAATCGTATGTTCTCCCTCATATGTGGACATTAGATCAAGGGCAAACACAACAAGGGGATTGGACTATGAGTACATGATAAAAGCGAGAGCACACAAGGGAGGGGTGAGGATAGGTAAGACACCTAAAAAACTAGCTAGCATTTGTTGCCCTTAACGCAGAGAAACTAAAGCAGATACCTTAAAAGCAACTGAGGCCAATAGGAAAAGGGGAACAGGTACTAGAGAAAAGGTTAGATCAAGAAGAATTAACCTAGAAGGTAACACCCACGCACAGGAAATCAATGTGAGTCAATGCCCTGTATAGCTATCCTTATCTCAACCAGCAAAAACCCTTGTTCCTTCCTATTATTGCTTATACTCTCTCTACAACAAAATTAGAAATAAGGGCAAAATAGTTTCTGCTGGGTATTGGTGGGGGGAGAGGGAGGGGGCGGACTGGGTGGTAAGGGAGGGGGTGGGGGCAGGGGGGAGAAATGAACCAAGCCTTATATGCACATATGAATAATAAAAGAAAAAGGAAAAAAAATAAAACAAAGAACATCCTTATCAATATTATTAAGGATAAAAAAAAATGAATCAAAAACCTTAACATAAGACCTAAAGCTTTGAAACTACCAGAAGAAAACACAAGGGACGCTGGGCACTGGTGGCTCATGCATAGCTGTAATCCTAGCTACTCTGGAGGCAGAGATCAGGAGGATCATGGTTCAAACTATTTGGGCAAATAGTTCACAAGATCCTATCTCAAAAATACCAACACAAAAAATGGCTGGTGGAGTAGTTCAAACAGTAGAGTGCATGCCTCATAAATGTGAAGTCCTGAGTTCAAGCCCCAATACCAAAAAGAAAGAAAGAAAGAAAACATGGGGGAAACACTGCAAGATACAGGCAGAGCAAAGGCAATAGTTCTCTGAATAGAACTCCAATAGCCTGAGAAATAATAGCAAGAACTGACAAATGGGTTTGAATCAAATTTAAAGGCTTCTATATAGCAGAGAAAACAATTACCAGAGTAAAAAGCGTACATAACTGGAGAAAATCTTTGCCAGTATTCATCTGGCAGAGGATTAATATACAGAATATATAAAGAACTAAAAAATGAAAGACCTAAAGAATGAATAATCTAATCTACAAATAGGGAAATGAATAGACACTTTACAAGAGAAAAAGTACAAATGACCAATAAGTACATAAACAAATGTTCAGCATCTTTAGACATCAGGGAAATGCAAATTGAAAGTACATTGAGCTTCCATCTCTTCCAAGTAGAATGACTTTATGAAGAAAACATCAAGTGCTGGCAGGGCTGCAGGACTGGGGGCGGGGAGTGGGGAAGGAACCCTTATACATTTTTGGTGGGAATGGAAACTTGTCCAGCCACTACAGAAATCAGTTTGGCGGTTCCTCAAAAAGCCAAAACTAGAACTACCATAGGGTCCAGTTTTACTACTCCTAGGGATATACCTAAGGAAATCGAAGTCATTATATAACAAGATACCTGTATACACATGTTTATCATGGCACTATTCATATTAGTCAAGTTATAGAATCAGCCTGGTTACCCATCAATGGATGAATGAATAAAGAAAATGTGGTATAGACACACAATGGAGTAAATAAGGAAGAAGGAAATCATGTCATTTGCAGAGAAATGGATGGAACTGGAGAGCATCGTGTTAAGCAAAATGAGCCAGACTTAGAAAGAAAGGTATTCCATATTTTCTCTCAAATGTGGAATACTGAAAAGAAAACAAAAGACATGAAAGTAGAAGGGGGACTATTAAATAAGAGGAAGGGGAGCAGGGGGAGGAGGGATAAGAGAGAATAGTGGGGGAAATATGACCTAAATATAATATATGCAGGTATGAAAATGTCACAATGAAGCCCATTATTTTTCACAATTAATGTACTGTAATAAAAAAGGAAAAAGTATTATTAACCTAGTGCATTACAGGTGCATACCTGTAATCCCAGCTACTAGAGAGGCTGAGGCTGAGGCAGGAGGATCATGAGTTTGAGACCACCCAAGGCAACTTAGATTGATCCTGTTTCAAAATTTAAAAGGGCTGGGAAAATAGCTAGGTGGTAGATTGCTGCTTAGCATGCATGAGGCCCTGGGTTCAACCTCCAGTACTGTCAAAAATAATATTTAAAAGAACATGCAAGAAATAAATAAGTTTGACATTGCTACAGGTAACAATTTAAATCAGCAATAACTAGTACCATCTTTACCAATTTAAGTACCATATTCATCTATGTGTTATCTATCTCATAGAGCTTATTTCAGTCCTCTTGTAGAAGGTGAGGTCTTGTATTTCCAGATTTAAAACCAACCTCTTCCAAAATAACACAAGAAAAAGGACTTTAATAATCAGTTAATATCTCACAGAATTGACTGCAGCAAACTGTTAAGTCATGATCTATCTTAAGCTCTATTAACAATGAAGAAAAAGTACATGTTACTATCAATAAAAACAATCCTACCATGAACCCACTACAAACCTTCATATGCCAGCCACTTAAGCATATATTGCACATTTACAACCACAAAAGATAAGTATTTTCCTATTGTATATAAGGAAACTAACATGGAATGATTAAGAAACTTAACCAAAATTTCACAGTTTGAATGATCCAAAGATGAACTGACATTTGATCTATAACATTCTTGGTTCACCTCTGTAATAAATCCATTTGAATACCAAGATTAATTTTGTAATCTGTATTTAAATAATATGATGATTAGCTAGCTGTAAAGGGATTTCCCTCTAGCCAGGCATGTGGTTCACATCTGTAATCCCAACTACTCAAGAGGCTGAGGCAAGTGAATCAAGTTAAAAATTATAAAAGAGCTGGGCATGTAACTCAGTGGCATAGTGTGCTTGCCTACCATATATGAAGGCCAATCAGAAAAAGAAGTAGTTACCTCCAAAGCTTTTTTCCTTTAAAAAAGGTGGTTGGGGGGGTGGTGGGTAGACAGGACCAATAGACAATTTTCAAATGCAACAGTAAATTTTCATTCTTAGCTATGGAATCTTTTGGCAATTTGACACTTTGTACCAACAGAATAGAATGTAGAAGAACTTCTACAAGTTTATCTCCTTTGAAGATTTTTGTTTAGTTCTAGTCATTACACACTCCTCCACACAGAGAGAGGGCAGGGGAAGAGGGAGAAGGAGAAGAAGGGTAGAGGGGGAAAGAGAAAAGGGGAAGGAAGGGAGGAGGTGGAGGAAGAGAGAGATGGGGGAAGGGAGAGGGAAAGAGAGACTGAGACTTTCTTCCTGGCTTACCTTTCTTTATTCTTTCCTTACCACCCACAACTTGCTCATCTTGTGGCATCTGAGATAACTTCTGCATAAACAACTTCTCTAGAGCTTGTGCCATAAGAACAATGTCATCTCCAGGCTAGAAAACATATTAACTTTACTTTAAGGATACTCAGTATGGTCATTGTACCAAATTTCTTTAACTCAGGTTACTTTATAGAAGGCAGTGACTATACTCTTAGTCATATTTATCTCTTCTAAATTTAGAAATTACTGAGGCAGCTCTTATTTTAATTGCTAGCATCCTACCCCTCTGACCTCTAAAAAGGACCAGAATGCCTTTGTGAGCACCACAGTACAATACAACCAATCCTAGTAATACAAAAAGTTATTAGAAATGACAATTTCTACCCCTTAAGTAGGCTAAAACAAACTTGTTCAGTGCCCAGCAAAGCATTTCATCATTTGAAGGGTTTTAAGTTTTCAATTAACTAAAGTAGCACTGACTCAATTTTAAAATCTTAGCTATATGCTTAAAAGTTGCCTTCTTGATTTTTTTTTTGGTAAGTATACCCAAAAGCAACAGCCTAAAGCAGAGAACGTTTATTTCTAGGTTAGGTAGCTCAAGAGAACTACTGAACTTTATTTAAAATGTTAAATGTGAAAGGACCCATCAGAATCACTGATGAATTAAGATAAAGTTCACAATGGTACTGATAACCATTAGTACTGATTCCTTTAAAATCCGCATCAGTTAATAGTTTTAAATATTTCATACATATAAGGAGCCCTGGAAAGTATGCATCTTATTTGATGTCTTAGGCTGTGGCCAGGGATCCCTATCATGAAAATTTAATCGTTAGGTGTATCATTCATCTTATAACTAAAATAGCAAGGACACAGTAGAATAATTCTAAAATTCTTCAATGACATCAACAAGCTATCACTGGTATTTTATTTTTTAAAAGCATAAGCCATTATAGCTATTTAGGTAAAAATATAGCAAATAAATAAACACGGAAGTGTGAAAATGATTAAGTCCATTGAAAAACATTATACTTAAAACATGTAAAATATTCCAAATCAAGGCTTGAAATCTGAAATCAGCATACTTGTTTATACTCTGCAAAGAATCAGCAGTACAAGGCTTACATACCTTGTTGTATAAATAACAATTTGAGAACATTGTATTGAAGTCTTCTATACATTCTGAAGCCTTTGCGTAATATTTATTCTCCAACCGCTTCTTAATTGTATTTAAATCCATTGGCTTTTTTACAATGGTATAATAATCCTATGGTTTTTTTAAGAAATTCTAAATGTTAGTAAGAATGAATTCACTGTAAGTGTTGGTACACAAAGAAATTTCATAAACTATACACTTCTAACTAGAGTGTAATTGACTGCATTTAAAAAGCTATAATCAGAAAGCCAGAACTTTTAATATGAAAAGCAAACATGAATGTCATAGCACTATTTTTCAGAGGAAAGAAAAAGTCAATATAAAGATTATTCATGGAAAAATAAAAAGGGAAATGGGATGATGGGAAAAATAGTATTTATGGAATCTGACAGATCCATACTTACTAGATATATTGCAAATTACTCAACCATTTTGTTATTAGATGGCTAAACATTCTTAATAAAACCTAAAGTTTAATTTGGGTGTGAAACAAATTAGTCTGCCAAGAAGTGTTAAGAGAGACTTCATGGAGAAGATAATATTCATGATAAGCCTACATCAGAAGGCAAGTGAAACATGCTACAAGAAAACATGCATAATTTATCTACAGTTAAATATCAATGCCTATCAAAGTGAGCTTTAGATTTTTGGGGAAAAATACTCATTAGAATATTATTTAGTGATACTAAATAATCAGGTATTTATTAATTATATTTTAGAATATTAAATACTAATTTTTCTTATAGATAGTTACAGGATTTTTCCTTCTTATTACGTCGTTTTTTGTGCATGTGGTAGTGAGGATTGAAGCCACGACCTCACACTTGCTAAAGGTAAGTGCTCTATCACTTGAGCCATACCCAGTTCAATTTTTCTTTAAGTTCACATAATTATGTGATACACTTACAGGCAACCTTAGTTTCACGGCATCCACCGGCTGTTGAAAAGGCCAAGAAAAGCTATGCTTCCACAAGGCCTTCAGGACAACTTTTTGTAGATACTGCAGTTGATTTGTCAGCCGCCCACTTTTCTTAGAATTGATGTACTCTGGTGGAGGGGGGTTCACAATAGCTGTTTGTCGGCTTGGCAGAGACATTCTGAAGTTTAAATCCTGATATTCTAATGTTGTCTACAAGTACATGTCCTGAAAAATAAAAACTAAGTATCATATACACACTTCATTCAAGAGAAAGAGATGCCATATTTGAAAACATATATTTAGTCAGAAAAAAGCCTCAAATGAATAAATTTTAAACAAATACCCACCTTTTTTTATATAAGTAGTATAAGTTGTTTCATTATATATGCCTTAGATGGTTTAAATTATTTCAACATTTCACAGAATTTGTTTCTGCTTTTCAAAAACACAAATTGAGGTCTTAACAGGAAAAGTCTACAAATTCCTAATAAAAACAAATAACAAGGAATGTTAAACATATCACTAGCATATAGGTATCCTACAATTGTTAATTCAATGAAAGGAGAAAAAAGATCTTTCTGGATCTTTTTCCCCAGTTTTTCTAGTTGCTTAACCAAAGGAGTTTATAGTAGCCCCTTTGTATTTGTAGGCTTACGGTTGCAAGGAGACTGTCATTGAGGAAAAACCACACACGCTCAGGAGGCATAGAGTTCAGTGCTGTACTAAGAATGCTTGCTTCATTTTTTCCATAATAGTGCCCAGCTCCTCTAAAGATGTGCCGCCTTCCAACAAATCTCAAATTTTCACTTTATCAGCTTTAATTAAGCACGTTCACTTTTACAAATCATGCAACTAAAGCACAGTGACAATAACACATGACTGACTGAGGTTCCTGACATCTACTGGGCTGCATTATGCATGCAGGAATTTAAAACTTTTGGTTTTGAAATTTATTTTTTTGACAGCACTTGGTGAAAACTATGTGTAATAAATCTGCAAATAAGGCAGGCTAACTGTACTTAAAAACCAAATGCATAGGGGTATGGGGTACACCTCAATAGTAGAGCATGTGCTTAGCATACACAAGGCCCTGGGTTCAAGACTCAACACCAAAACCCATAATAAATAATAAAAGATTTCTTTAAATAAGAAAAAGAAAAATCATTAGAAAGAAAAATGCCAAGTGTTAAAATGCTACTCTGGTGCATACTGCTATATCTAAAGTAAAATATTTTTAAATTTCCTGAGCATTTCAAAAAGATATCATCTAATAACAGTGTACCTACACTACATTATTATTACTTTAAGGATCAAAGAGTAAAGGCACTAACATGTTCACGCAAATACCTCAAGTAAACCAGCAAAATGAAAAGCATTGTTATCAAATTGCCCCCTTTTAGAGACCAGTGTTAAAACTAATGTATCTTTGCTTGCATTAAGTCAGTGTTAGTTCTCAGCTCCTGTTGCAAATTAATCATTGTGGATCTTTCTTATTTTGCTTTTGGTATAAAATCTATAATAAAACTTACCATCTTAACCATTTTTAAGTGTGTAGTTCATCAGTGTCAAATATATTCATATTTTTATGAAACCAATCTTCAGAACTTTTTCATTTTACTAAACTGAACTTCTATATCCATTAACCCCCCCATGTTTATCTTCCCCAGTCCTTGCCAACTACCATTCTCCTTTCCGTTTCTATGAATTTGACTACTCTAGATATTTTACATGTGAAGTCATAAAAGTATTTGTCTTTTTTTGTAGGTGGCTTATTTTATTTTGTACAAAGTCCTCAATGTTCATCCATATTATAAGGTGTCACAATTTTTTTCTTTTTTTTCTGGTATTGCTGGGATTGAACTTATGGCCTAGCACATGCTAGACAAGCACTATACTACTGAGCTATGCTCTCCATCCCAATTCCTTCCTCTTTAAGCCTACATATTATTCAATTGGATGTGTACCTCATTTTGTTCATCCATTCATCCACCATTGTTACATGGCTTGCTTCTACCTTTTGGCTATTGTAAATAGTGCTGCTGTGAACAAGGATGTACAAATATTTCAAGACCCCTGCTTTTTTAGACTGCACTTAAATGTGAAAAAAAGACCCTGCTTTTAATTCATTTGGATTAACATACATATCTAGAAGTATAGAAGTGGAACAGCTAGACAACCTGGCAATTGTACTTCTAATTTTTTTCAGTTTGGGTCTTTGCTTATTTGGTGCAGAAGCACCTCCTGCATTCTAGGTAAGCATTCTACAGTGAGCTTCTAATTTTTTGAAGAATGCTATTGTCATTTCACATTTCAGCAACAGTGCACAACAGCTCCAGTTTTTCCATGTTCTTGCAGAGTTATTTTCTGTTTTAACAGTAGCCATCCTAATAGGTAAGAGAAGTAGATCTTTCTTAAACTATCAAAGTCTAGAGCCAAACATCTGGAAATAGGGTTTGGGAACCAGTTTTTTCTTTTTTTGCTATGCTGGAGATTTAGCTCAGGGCTGCCCCCTGACCCCCGCCCCAGTCCAGCTTTTCAGGATGCAAATCTGATGCAAGATTGAGGACTACTATGTTAAAATGAACTTATTTGAAGGTCATAATTAATCTTATAATTTATTTCATCTCATGATTTTATTTTTCCCATGTTATTTATATGAAATAGTACACTTCAAGTCAGGCATGATGGTCATGTCTGTAACCCCAGCACTCAGAGGCTAAGTGAGGCAAGAGGACTGAGCTTGAAGCCAGACTGGGTAACATAGCAAGATACTGTCTCTAAAACAAACAACAAATAAATAAACAAACAAAACAGTAACATTTCATTAACGTCATTAAGAACAAAGATGGAGACAGTCTATGTCAAGACTAAATTCACTATTATACTGGCTTTGTTAATTTTTTTGCAGTACTGGGGTTTTGAACTCAGGGCCTTGCATTTGCTAGGCAAACACTACCATTTGAGCCATGCCCCATCCCTTTTGCTGTAATTTAAGTTTTAGATGGGGATCTCTCTTTTGCCTGGAACCAGCCTTGGACTTCAGTCTTCCTACCTCTGCCCCCAACACAGCATGTGCCACCACGTGCACCCCTGACTTCATAATTATTTAAAGCTTGCTGAACACTGTAGTCCCTGCCTGTAATCCCTGTACTCAGGAGGTTGAAGTGGGAGGATTCCAAGTTTAGGCCAGTGTGGGCTACAAAGTGAGACCTATCTCAAAATCAAAATAAATAAAGCAATAAAATAAATAAAATAAAAATAAAGCAAGCTAGCTTCTTTTTTGAGTGTCCCAATCACTATACCCTTCCTCATCCACAAAGGACTGTACTGACTTCTATCTCCACAGATTAAGTTGTGACCTTAACATGATGTTTGTGAGACTTAACAAGTTATTGCCTATGTAGTCTGTTCATTTTCATTGCTGCACAGTAATCTGCTATAAAATTATACCATAAATTGCCTATTCCTGTTGAGACTCTGAGACTGTTTCCTACTTCTCATTATAATGCTACTATGAACACGCTTGTAGTGTATGTGTATGTATGCACTTATGCTGCGTATAAACTCAGGAGTGAAATAACTGAGTCAGATGTATATGCTCAACTTTAGTAGATGCTATCAAATAATTTTCTGAAATGAGGTACGAATTTATATACACAAGAGCAGCCTAGAGTTCCAGTCATTTCATATCCTTAATATTTTACATCATCAGTGTCTTTCCAGCCATCTTCTGGGTGTGTAATGGGATCTCATTGTGATCGCTTTTTTTTTTTTTTTTTTGAGACAGGGTTTCCCTACATAGCCCACGCTGGCCTGGAACTCCCTATGTAGCACAGGCTGGTCCCAAACTCTAAGTCCTCCTGCCTCAGCCCTCTGAATGCTGGGATTACAGGGCATACACCACTGTACTGCCTTGTCTCTTTATACAGCCTGTTTCATACCCTTCTCCCGACAGCTATTTCTATAATTTTATTCCTTATACCTTATGTTTCCTTATCCCCACTATCTACTCTTCTGAGGCTCAGATTCTACAAATTCACATTACCTAACTCAATTCATTCAGCACATTTGCTGTGCACTGGTTTGAGACCAGAGACTGTTGTGGTGCTAGAGATACTACAATAAATAAAATAGAAAAGCCCTGCTCTAATGAAGACACACTGTAAGGAAGGGAAACCAAAGAGAAAAAAACAAAACAGTAACTTCAGCAAATGCCAATTATTATGAAGGAAACAGGGTAATGTCAGGGGAATGGGAATGTTAGGGAAAGTCTCTGAGACAGGACTTTTGGGCTACAAAGATAGAGGAAAGCGTTCCAGGCAGAAAGGGAAGCCCTAAGATGGGAACACACTTAGTATGCTTAAAAAGAAAGAACGACGGTCAGCAGAGTACAGAAAATGGGCAAGAAAGTTAAAAAAAAAAAAAGAAAAGAAAAAGCAGATAGTAGCCAGATTTTGTATGGGTCTTGGCAATGGTAAGAATTTAAATTTTATTCTCTAAATGTAGGCTGAGTAGAGTGTGGGAGAGAGCAGGAGCAGAGCAGGGAGGCTAGTAAAGGGCTCTAAACTAGTCCAGGAAAAAGACAGCAGGAGAGATCATCAACTGGTCTTGATAGTAATCTGCTTCCTCTTTCCTAAGCCTTTCTCTTTTACCAGGTAACGGCACTACCACTTTAATCAACAGCTCAAGACAAAAACCAAGGTGTCTTTTTACTTCTTTCTTTCCTTCAAGCCTCCCCAAGTCACCCCAGTCACTTTGTTGGCAAATTCTTTAGTTCCTCCTCCAAAACAAATCTTAAATTTTCACTACCTGCCCCACTATAAGCCTACTCCCTAATTATCATGGCTCATAAGACTATTCATAAGAACTATTTGCACACCTCCAATCTAGCCTGAGCCCTTGGGTCTGGTCCCTTGTCCTTCAGCCTCATTTCCTTTTGCTCTCTCCACTCAGTCACATCACTCCATCCATAGTTCTCTGCAATGGGCCAACTCTGGGCCTTTACAGTTTTCCTGAAATACTCTTCTCCCACATCTATTCATAATCACATCTTAAAAAGGCATGCAAATTCTGTCCCTTCCAAATCCAATCCAGTTATCTGCCACTGCACTCTTTCACTACTATAAATTGAGCATCTCTACTCTTTCACTACTATAAATTGAGCATCTCTGAAGTGC